TTTTGTTTTCTTAAGGTTCTGCATTTTTATAAGCTACTTACAGCAATCTGAATGCTGCTACTGAAATGAAAGCTTTTGCATTCAGGTTCATAGCATTAAAAGAAGCTGCAAACAGAGGCAGCACAGTCAAAGCAATTTGATGTGTGGTAGGTCATGTTTTGCAGGCTAGTACTGCAGTCATTCTTTAAGCAATTGTTATGTTTTACAAGTTTTTGTCTTGAATTTAAGTTCTGTAAAAGGAAAAAGGTAATTACCAGTTTCAAGCGAACTTGGTTTCTGGCTTCTGCCACTTCACAATGTACTTCTCATGACTGAAATGTGTACAGTTTGCTTTCCATTGCACTGAGTTCAGATTTCCAGAGGCCTGATAGCATATCTGTAGCCTTTGTTAAAAATGTTGACTGTTCATTCATGAATGATTAACAGGTTGTTTTTTTTAAAGGCCCGTATCTGCTTCCTACTGTGCCAGTATAAAAACTGTGCTCTGAAAATGCTGTGTGTGCAGTCTCTGAAGAATGTTGTGTGTTGATCCTGGAAACTTGGTCCTGCTTGCATGAAACTCTCTTTATCAATTAGTGAGGACCAATTAGCAAGGATCTTCTGAGAGTCTGAAGTTAAATGTGGCAGATTTTTTCAGTATTATACAGAGTAGTACTGAGCTCTGGGAGAGGTCCTTTTGTTCTTGAAGTTGCCAAAGTGTTTAATGGGCTGTACAATTTTCATTCATGTTGTAGTGTCATAGAAGTATTTCTGCTTTCTAATTTTCCTACCTCGCTTTTCCAGCAAGAGTCCTTCACTGTTCTTAGCAGGAGAAAGCAACATGAAAAAGTCTGAAATGCCTATAAAATAGCAAATGAATGTTGAAATGTTTGGAGTATAAGGCGTTTAGTGTGTGCATGCATGGGCATGTTGAAGGACGTGTTGTTGCAATTCTGATAGTGAGAAGACAAGGAGTCTCTTTGGGAAGAATTAATTCCATGTTTATGAGCAGTCAGAGTTTGATAGTGAAAAAAAAAATGCCTCAGGGAGGGAAGTTCGTGCTGGAAATCCAGTTTAGTGTTTAGCTTATATTTAAGTCTCCCTTAACTGTGTATGGTCTTGGGCATACACCCATGGAAGTGATCAGGAACTGTTTAAGTCTAGGTGTCGGAATCTGTGGTATTGATGATTCCAAGATTGTAAAAAGTCTCTGTCTTTCTGCCCCGTTGCCAAAGAAGAAGCCATGATTTGTCTGTGCTGTTTTCAAGGTTGTTTATTCTGTTTATCTCTAACATGTTCTGCTGCCCTGCAGCAGCTCTGTCCTGCAGGGCAGCATGTGGGGCTCTGCCCTCACTGGGATGTTACAAACATTATATACCAGAAACTACCTGTGCTATATTTACAATAATGTGCCAATATCTATCATCTACGTTAAACAGTGTGTCCCCAGCCTAAACTAACAGAAAAATGCCAACACTACAGTGAAACATGGAGGGCATGAAGAAGGAGAAAAGGGACAAGACACACCCAATTTCCTCCATCTTGTCCCCTTCGAACCCCTAATCTAGAAACTTAAAATTTTACTTTTGCACCCGTGCCACACTTAATTATTACTTATATCAAACACTCAGAGCTTGTCATTCACCCTGTAAGATTGAAAACTCTTTTCCATGGACAGAGATCACAGACAGTGTCTCTGGGGGCTCTGTACAGGGGGGTTCCTGACCCCTGCCAGGGTCCCAGACCTGCCAGGGCAGCCAGAGGGAAGCCCTGGCTTCCCACAGCAAGGTAATACATTGTCTATTCTTATTAATATATTGTCAGTGAATAATGATTTTGATAAATGAAAGTTAAATTAATCTGCCTTTTGTCTTGAAATTATTCGAGTTTTTTGCAGAACTCAGTTGTGAATTCACAAAATGATTGTTTGAAAGGAAAGGTGGAGGTGGTGCAGTGCCCAGGAGCTCTACAGGGATCCACTGTGACCTGCCTGTGTGGGACTCCCCTTCCCAGCCTGAGGGGGGGATTGACCTTCCTGCCAACCCTGGCATAGAATTCACACTGATGTTAACTTAAGGAAACTTTGAGCTTTCTAAAAGCTGTTTTTCTTATCAATAAATAAGATATTAACAAAATTAGCCTTGGTAAGGTTGAGTGCTGTTGAACTGAGCAAAATCCTAGACAAAACAACCTACCTCATAGTGTGGCTCAGGGTATGAGGAAGTTATGTTGTGTGCTACAAGGTTATTAAAAATAGATTCTGATAACAAAGTCATATCCCTCAAAGACGTACTTATGAGTTAAGCTGTGTGTTATGGTCAGATTGGTGGCTTTGCATTTTCTTAATGCTTCACTAAAACCAGTAATTTCCAAACGTCTTTCAAAAATCTTGCAGTTCTCCCTGAAAAATCTGTCAGAAGAGAAAACAACAGGGAATGAAAGTAACTGGATGGCTGGCTTGGCAGGACGGCTAATTGTCTTGTTTGTTGCTCAGGAGAAAAGTTCTGTCTTCTCCTTGAAAACCAGAAATTGGTATCTTGAGTTTGGAAGCACAAAGCATTCGGAAGAAAATCCCTCATTTGCACTTTCATATCATGTTACTGTTTTAAACTTATCTTGTATGCTGCCTGAGTTAGGGGCAGTACTTTTGCTGTGAGCTCCCAGTATTGGCTGAGTGTATCCATGTCCTGCAGTTTCATCTGGTGTTGTGCTGGTTGTAATGCTGGAATGGCTGAAAACCTCCGTGTGAAACCTCTGAGCCATATTCCTATGTGTTGCTTATGAAAATATTCCAATGCAAAAATATACCAAGCATTCTGTGTTGCAGGCTATTTAGAAAACATTTTTATTAATACACAGAACTGTTGTTTTAGTGATAGCACATAACTGCCTTAATTAAAACAAAATAGTAGCTGTTACATGTGGGCCAGACAGAAAAGCTGCCTTATTGCTCTGTGTGGAAGAGGAATTTCAGGAGGAGGTGAGGGTTGTGCCAGCCACCAGCCCCCCGTGGCAGCAGCCAGGGCACTTGGTGGTGCTGCTTTTGCCACTTCCTTAAAAGAGAGGAAGGAGCTGGGGGTTTGTGTGTTCTGTGCTGTCATTTCAGTGACAAACCCTGTGGTTTAATGACAGGCTGGTTTACGTGGGAGATGCAGCTCTGCAGGCTCTTGGACATCAAGGCAGAAATGGTGCTCTTGAATGAGGAGGCATCAAGACTACTGCCCCAACATGCCAGGGAATTGGTTCGTCCCTAAAGACAGTAGGGTGGACTTCATTCACAGTAGTGATGTTTATGCTCTTAGGGCTCTCAAGATAAACTCTACCAAAGGCAGCTGTTCTACCCTCCTCACAAGAAAAAAGAAAAAAAGAAAAAAGAAAGACAGAACAAAACAAAAGTCAACATGTGTGACTTGGATAGTAGAAAATACCCTTTTACTGTTCATCAAGTTTTGTAAAAGATTTTTCCTTTGAATCACGTATAGGAGGGTACTGGTTGATTTTGGCTTTCGGATTTTGCCAGTGCTGCATGTTTCTGTTTTCAGCACTTGTGGTTTGCCTTAGCTGTACTGTACTTGCTATATCTGGTAAGCTGTGTTCTCTCTTTTAAAGGCACGCAAAACAAGTCCATGCCCGTTACAATCTCATTAAGTTCCTCTCTAGCTGTTTCCCTCTTTGGTTGTGGATATTGCCCATATTTGGTTCTACCTATGGTGCAATCAGTTTATATCTGATTGTGTGGTATGATACGCTGTCTTGCCTGAGCAAACCCTGATAATTTATGGTTAGATGTGGCCCAGATTAGCATCTTATGATTTTAATGTTTAAAAGTACATTATAAAAGATCTTTTATGTAATGCAGTAGCAACAGGAGGCACAAGGACTTGAGGACTTGCCTACAGCAAAGCTGCTCAATTAAAACCAAGGGGATGATATAAATGGTATAGTTTTTTTCCTTTAGAGTACCTAAATATTGTGCCCTAAAATACAGAAATGGCAGTGCATAACCAGGAAACTCTTTAATTTGGTTTAATAACTAGCTGCTTTCACAATCTCATAATCAGAGCTCTCGTGAAAACACATGCTCTTACACTATACATGGTGTGTTTCTATTAGACTTTAAAAATTGAACATTTGAAGATTTATTTCTCTCCTAAACACTGTAGGGGCTCATTTGAAAGTACTTGTGGTTTCATTAAGTTCTTTGGTATTCTAACCATAATTTCTGCTGTCTGTCACATTAGCAAACTATTTATTAATAAGCAATTGTCATTAGTGTTTTGTTTTCATGTAGGTATTAGTTGTTCTAGTTTTGTGCATGTTTCTGAACAAAATCGGGTGGATAAGAATATCCACTTAATTTCTACAAGAAGAGGGGGATAATTGAAACACTTAGTGATGATGCCTAAAATATTTTCAAATAAGCATGTTTGAAAAGGCATACAGCTGAACTATCCAGGTGTTTTTCAGAATGTCTTAGTCACAACATTGTGCTCATCTTTCTGACTGAGCTGCTTGTTTAGACCTCACTGAGAATGCAAAAGTGCTGCTTTACATTCACCATCTCTGTATCAACAGTGAAGTGGAAAGGTCGGGGAACAATCTTTGCCTAACAAGTGGCATCTCAGAAATGCTATGTATTGTCTCCAACAATATCACATTACTTACAGTTTCTGAGCAATATTTGAACTGTAAAGTGAAGTATTCCAGCAAGGCATGGCAAGCATATAATTTTTTGATGACGATTCCAGTGTATTCAAATCCACTGTAAGACATAATTATCAGCTGTCATCTGCAGAAATGCTGAAAATTTGGTTCAGTATTAAATAAATATAGCTTGTAATATCTACCTTAGAATTAAGAATCTAGTGTTCTTACACCCCAGTATTTTATGGCTGTCCTTTGTGCTTTTGTACTTAACAACAGAAGGAGTTTGTTGGTTTGTTTTACTACTGTGTTCTGATTTGTAAGAGAGCATTCGAAAATCCATTTGCTCGTTAACAGTGCATTTCTTCTCTCAATAGCCAACTACTCCACCAAGCCAAGGGAGGCCTGATTCACCAGTTTATGCTAATTTACAAGAACTGAAAATATCTCAGTCTGCACTTCCACCTCTACCTACAAGTGCTCCAGTCCAAATAAATGGGGAATGGGAAACCCATAAAGATACGACAGGACGCTGTTATTACTACAACAGAGGATCACAGGAGCGAACCTGGAAACCTCCACGGTGGGCCCGAGATGCAAGCAGTAATAAAGGGGATTCCCAGAGCCATGCAGATCATGAGGTAGTTCCTTCTGAGATCAAAAAACAATGAGATTGTAATGCATATGAATGGTCTTTTGCTGTGGAATTTGGTATTTCTTGGTTTCAAGGTGTCAAGGAGTGTCTTTGTCTTTTTGGTTTTGTGTCTTAGTATGAAGTAAGTCAACACTTTCATTCTTGAGTTGCTTTTGTGTACAGGAATGTGTACATGATCTGTGTAGAAGAGTAGCAGCATGTAAAAATGCCTGTAAAAACAGCCCCATAGCAGATACTGCTACTTTTGACTAGGTTGCATTCAGGCCATAAGCATATACATGGGTATATCAATGGGTTTTTTTCATTATGTAAAAGTTCTGCTTTTGCCAAGCCTTTTGGAAGAGCTCTGCTGTTGACCTTGCTTGAGATAGTTGAAGCTTACTGTGAAGTTATTTATGTTAAAAGATGATTTGGACTAATATTTGAGGTGCCAATTTATTCTGTGCAGCCAGTTGCTAGGGAAAGTCTGATTGTGAAGTGTGTTTATCTGAGCTGCACTGCTTCAGATAAAGTCAAGGAGTAGTTGGGAGATGGATATTACTATTTAGCTATGCTTAAAATACTGTTATTGTGTCCAAACAGTACTGAGGTTAACCAGTTTCCTGATGGAAAGAGAAACCAAATATTTATCAAAATATCTTCTACATATTTCACTTCTATATTCCTTTTTCAAATATATATATATATATATATATATATATAGTTTTCGTGGATTTTCTCCTGCGCCAACTATATATAGTGTCTCTATATATCCTATGTATATATATCTAAGCTATAAAACTAGAGTTTAGTTTTAAAATTGAATTATGGACACTCAAAACTTTTTGATTGCTGGAAGCCTGTCACAGAAGTCTACCTCTGGAAAGTTATTAACAGGAACAGGAGAGAAAGGGAAATGGAAACCAGTCATTTCCTTTGGCACTGGCCTTCATAGCAACTGTGACATCTACAAGCATTGAAATAGGCAAATTTTGTTGCCTCAGGCGAATGGCAGCCACAGGCAAACAGATGGAATGTTTATGCCTGTCCCTTTGGTATCTCTGGTGATGGTCTCTTAATTTATCACTGACTGTCCTTTTGCTGGAGAAGACTGGTTTTAGTCTGGGTAAACTGATTGCTTTTTTGAGTAGTGGTTCTCCTTGTCCTAGTAATGGTTCTTCATTGTAGTTCCATCTCCTAGTCATGGTTTTCTCATTGTTGTAGTTCTTCCTTCTTTTCATGGAAGGATTGCAAGAGTTCTTTCTCCCTCTCCATCTGCAACCAATCCCTCTGACTCCTACTCATACATCTGTACCATCACTTCACCACATGGTTGCATCTTTGGAATGCTTGATTTTTTATTTACTTTTTTAAAATTGCCCACAACTTCTTTCGTCTCAGTTCTTCTGTTTATTTGTGATGCTTCAGGTATCACAAGTTGGCCATCAGACAGTTATGTCTATCAAGGTTGCAGACTTTGTGAGACCAATGGGCAGTACATGTTTTGATTTTTAACTAGACTCCAAGTCTGTATTTCCAGTAGCATAAGCTCCTTAGGTAACTTATGTCTTGCCTGGGTAATCAAAATATGGATCTAGGGGGAGATGCACCTTGCATGGTCATGTCAATCCACTTACCAGCAGTCATGTTTTGATTTTGAAGCTGCCTTTCCCCCCACCCCTCTTTCCTTTTGTTTCTTTTCTGTTCTGCATTTGGGAACATGCTTCACACTCCACTGTTCGCGTTCCTTTTTGGAACCTCTGGGCATTTAATCCAATATAAAGTAAAGATTGAGATCCAAGCCTAAGCTGCAGGGAATTGTAGGACATCTCAAATTTTGTCTGATTAGGAAAGGTTAGCGCTAACACATCTTGTAATAATTATAAGGTGGCTTTTATGCTAGTCTGAGTTACGCTCTTTTAGGAATAAAAGAGTACATGCAGAAGGATAAAAAGCTAGTTTCTACTGCTTTGTCCTCAGAGGAGCTTGTGTTGTATTAGGTAGCAAAATGGAAGGTGATGTAAAAACGAGAACTGGGAGATCAGATATTGTAATATATGAGTAATATATGAAACATGACATAGTTTATAGTTGGTCTTTGAACTTCGTGATTAGCAAATCAAATTTTATTGGATAATTAAAAAGGAGCAGAATTGTACCTTACTTGCCAAAGTAGCTGGTCACAGACACGGTACAAAGAAAGAAGTTGTAGATCATGACATTTAAATGGATGTTATGTTACATGGATGGGATATGGGGAAGCAGTGAAGTCCTATGGACAGGGCCTGTGAGAAAGTGTATAAGCTTTTGGAATTGCAGATAAAATGTATTAGAGGCAGTGATTTGTTGATGTATGTGAGGAAGGTGTGCTTAACAGTAACTAGGATGAATTTGTCAAATGAAGTGATTTAATTAAGTTGAACTGTAAAAGGAATGAGTTGTCACAATATCAGAGAGGACAAACCTTTAGTACCTGGATAGGAGGTCATAATGTGAAGTAGATATCCACAAATTACCCAACAGCTGTAGAAAAGCAATGGGTTTTAATTGAATTTCAAAACTGGATTTAAATTGTGTCCAGAATGTGATTTCATTCTGTGTTTTTTGTTTCAATATAAACAAATGGTAATGAAGGGATGATAGCTTCCTTAATTAGTATTCTTCCTGATTATTTTCACTTTCACAAGTAGTAGTAACATTAAAAGCTAGAAAGGTTAAGGGATAGAAGGGACATAGATAGCTGTTCCTAGTAAATGCGTGGTGATGAACTGGTCTCTGCCCCCAGGAACTTCCTATGTAAATAGGAAAAAGCCAAGAATGACAACAGAAGCAATGCTGTGGGGTACCTTTTCTGTAATTCTCTTTAATGTCACAGCAAAGATCTGATAAGGTGTAAGGCTGGGCACCCATCTGCTTAAGATGGCTTTATTTAAGTGTGGGATAGTGTAACTGGGGATGAGACTTGAGATAAAGCATGGACAATATGAAAAAAATGTATAGGCAGGCAATGCTGAAAAAGTGTTGAAAGTGAAATTGAAAGCTGAGGAACGTGGCTTAGCCAGTGCTCTCTAAACCATGTTGATGCAGCTTTAGCAGCTGTTCCTGACAGCTAGGGGACAAGGAATGCCTTGACTTGGTAAAATTTGTAATAACTCAGGAATTTTGTTGAAGTTTAGGTCTGCAAATGTACAGGATATGAGTTAAGCCTTGCAGCATCTAAACTATTATTATATGGATGCCATGCAGACAGACACATTAACAGTCATCCTACTATACAACAGTGGTTTTTCTAGGGGAATTTTCGTTTTTAGGTCCTCTGTTTAGTTTTATCTGTATAGGGTATTTCTTCAGTATCAGGAGTTGCTTGGAAGAGGCAAATACCAATTTATTATATTATTAGGTAATAATCTCTGCAGATAGTAATAATAAAAATGTCCAAAGTCTTCTATATTGATTTGCCATATGTCAATGCAATTAATATTTAACTATTAAAACCATGTAAACATAAGTACATATATACAATATAGTTATCCTATGAAACAGTAGTTCAAATGGGGTCAATAGCATCCTTGGCAACCCTTCAGTCTTCATTCTTCAAGTGTAAAAATGGGCTGAAGACTCCCTGCTCCCTCTGCTCTCCTCCCCTCCCCACAGTGGTTAGGAATTGGCACATGAGAATTTCACATTGCCCCATGTGCAAGAGAGGTAGCACTGGTTAATCCATAGCTTACATGATCATGTTCTGTAAGCTGTAGAGGGCATTTGCATTTTGTCATGTTCCTTAATTAATGGTCTAAAAATTTCCTGTGGGTTTTCCTGTGCTTGGTAAACTGGGTCATGCCAGTTAAAGGAGCGTGTGTCACACAAGTGCCACACAAGGTACTCAGAAAAGTAACACCAAAAACCTATGTAGAAATCATTTGGATATGTCACTAAACATATAAAGTCTTTAAACCCACTTACTTTAAAAACCGGGGAGCTTCTGGTAACTGAATATTTTTTGGTAAGGCTTAATTTTTTGGGAGAGATTTTTTTTCCTATTTAGAGTTGAAATTGTCTCTTTCCTGCCTTACAGTTTTTCTCTAAGACCTTATACCAATGTTATGGAACCATAGTGTTTTATTCCTGTAGTTTCTGAGTAGCAGGGTGTCTTAAATGTTTTGCCTCCTGCTAGCTGAGGATCCAAGACACTGTAAAAGGAAATCTGCATAGAATTCCTCAGGAGACCACAGTGTAAAGATGTTGTGGGAGATGAAAGAAGGGAGAATTTTTTTTGATGCATGGAGTGGATGCTCAAAATAAGACTACAGTGTGTTAGCAAGGAGATGAACAAGGTTTATGGGGGAACAGAAATTGTTTGATGTGTGTGTAAAATATTTTCTCTGCATTACACATTAAACTTGTTCCTAGGATAATAATTGATTTCTACCTTCAGGAAACAAATTTTCACCTCAGCTAGCTGTGTCTTGTGGAAAGCCTTGCTTTTGCAATGCTCTTTTTCATGTGCATCAGTGTTGGAAGGAGGAGAGTGGAAATTCATAATATTTTAAGATGCAGTGGACAAATGCTGTAAAATGCTGCCATCTGAGAAGGTGAAACTGAAGTTCCAAGATGTCCTTAATCACTCCTGTGTTTCCAGATGTATTTGAGAAAAGGAGAAGGATTTAGGTGTGAAATTAGGGTTGGTGGTAGAAAACCGAGGTAGCAGGGCTCCCAGTTTTTTTTTTTAAGCAATGCAGATTACTAAAGCTAACTCTCTTCATCAGTAATGTAAATTTGTAGGAATGAAATTTGGATAGACAAAACCCCTGGAGTTTAAATTTGAATAGTGGAAATTACCTGAGTGGTGGAAATGGAAAAAAAAAAAGTATCAGTAAAAGCTAGTTCTGAAAATACTTTGAATTGTCTGCACTGTAAAAATGCATTTCATTCTCTCAAAAGATATAAAAATGTGAACTCCCTGTTTTCATTACTATTCTCTTTCTAGTCAAATAATCTTTGATCTTTCAGATTTTAAAGCGCTTTCATTCTCAAAACTGCCTTGTATGTTTCTGACTACTTGTAGCATCTTTCATCAGAAGAAAACGACCACAGTTCTTGTTACAGCCAGTCAGATAGTCAGTATGGTTCTCCTCCAAAGGGTTGGTCAGAAGAGTTGGATGAACATGGTCAAACCTTATATACCAATGACTATACTAATGAAAAGGTACTTTTTCCTTCTTCTCATAATGTGTTCTAAATCTTTTCCACTAGTTCACTTCTAGAAATGAAACCTTCATTTCCAAAAGTGAAGATCGTACCTCAGCAGTAGCTCCCTTTGCTTTTTTTAAATATGCATGAAGCTTTAGCAAGTGAACAGGCCCTTTTCTTATGTATGTTTTTGTTATCTAGAAGAAGTTTTGTTTCCAGTTACATATCAAATTATATAAAATGAACATACCATGTATAATTTTTTTAGTTCCAGCCCTCCACCTTCCTCTTAGTTATACTTCAGGAATGAACTTCATAAGTTTTTCTTACTGTCTTTTAAGAGCTGCTGTCTTTTAAGACCTTCTAGTTAAGATGTTTTTAAACGGAATGTAATGCTGCTTTATCATTTTCATAATTTCCTTTATTAAGAGACTTTTCACTACTGCTTTCAGATGTAGACAAACTTCTTAATTAAACTACAGCCATATCAGCAGATTTATGCCCTGTTCTTACAATCTTACTCGGATTCTGGGCATGCCATAAAATATTCTCCCACTTAGGATAAATTACAGTATCTGTTTATATTTGTAAAGTGGTCCATTTTTCTAATTGTTCACTGAAGTTGCATTTTGAGTTTTTTAAACTTCTAAAGTTCACGGAATCAGTACTTTATCATGTTATAGCACCACATAGTCTTCAGTTGAATTAGGCAAGTTTTATTTGCAAGAATTTTCTAAGTAGTTAGATTTTTTGTCAGTTTTAGAATTTTATCCTCTTTAATCTGTTTCTGACAAACATCTGTAAAGCACATTCCTATGTTTTAGCAAATATGCAGCCTTCTTTTTTAATTGCGCTGGGATTGATAAAAACCAGCCTTTCCTACCACAAAAAGTTATAGAAAGGCAATCTTGTGAAACCTGCTTGAGCCAAGAGCCTTGCTGTGAGTGTTTCTGTGTTTTTCTGTAATCATCTTGTTGAATTTTGCTCATTACAATTCTTTTCTTTCTGCATGAACAGTCCCAGTTGTCATGGGTTTGCTTCTTTGATTGTGGAAGGTACTTGTAGAGGTTACAGAAATTATATTGTCTTCTTTGTGATTTGTCTAGGGATTGCATCTCATGTTTACACTGATATTTTTAAAAAGTTGTTCAACAAGTGCATAAATCTCTCATATTATGAGCACTTGCTGGTTGAGTTGCTTTTTTGTAATTTTGTATATAAGCTCCTGATGTAGATCTGATGGAAAAATTGTGCCTCCCTAAACTGACAACATAATGTTGATAAGAATGAGATATGGCATCTTTAAAAAAATCTATTTATCACAATCTCTTGTGTGATATTGTGGGACTTTTTTCTGAGGTGTTACAGAAGGAAAAAATCAGGATGCTGAAAGCTGTTACTCTTACTGCAATCTAAGCCTGGTTAGTTAATGGAGGTTGTGCATTAGACACGGCTGAAGTGGATGGCACTTAATTAAAAATTAACTTTAAATCTCAGGTCTCAGAGATTTACTGTTGTGACTGTCACTCTGATTACATTTTCTATCATCACATTTCTTTCTGCAGTGGATAAAACATGCAGATGAACAAGGTAGACCATACTACTACAGTGCTGATGGTTCCAGATCAGAGTGGGAGTTACCTAAGGTGAGTGACCTAAAAAGGAAACTTCAAAAACTTGGGGCTTTCCCCTCTTCCTGAATGCATGTTCTATCAGGCCTTTAATGTGAGTTACTAACAACCAGAGGACTCAGATATTGCTGTTTGTTATTTATGGCATTTTTGTGGAATTTCTGATGATGAAGAGGAAAAAAATGTACTCCAGGACATGAAAAATAGATGTATGTAGCTTATTCAGATGTCAAAGGAGATCTGGTGTCTTTGCTGAATAGAGCAAAGGTTTTATGCAGGGCTGCAGAATAGTATCTGTGATTTTCCTGTGATAAAGAAGGACTGTATAGAAAAAAGGAGAAATTTTCACTGAGAAATTGTAGTCTATTTTTAGAACCCTTCTAAGTGCTTATACAAATAAGTGTTGAAAAACAAAAGTTTCAGCAGAGTTCTGTGATATCTTTGAGGATGGCACAGTTTCACCAGAATTGTGTTCTGGTATTTTTAATTTCATAGTGAAAATAGAAATTTGTGGGGAAGTGACATATCTGGGGACACTTGGTAGTCTGAGGATGTATCTAATACTATTTAATTCTCATATTCACTTCAAAAAACTAGGGCATTTGTGATATGGATGTATGTCTTCCCTGCTATTTATTCAATACTACATAATAAGCTGTGGCCGTGAAAAAAATTGCTTCACACAAAACTGTGTGCATAAAGCACAGCAAAAAGCACATTTCTCCATTATTGTTTTATCAGTACAAAAATCAATGTCTTGAGTCACTTCCACTTAGAAAGGAGCAACTTTATTAAGTACTGCTTTTTACTTGTGAGAAAATATTTACATGAAAATTATGAATGAAGTTATATACTAAGCTGTTTTGTTATGTCAGTAGAAGAATGTGCATCTGAAGCACTGAAGAGTTGAGTTAGCTTTGAGAATTCTCCTATGTCAGTCTGATGTGTTGGATAACTTAAATTTTGTAACATCTCAATGTAACAATATAATCTGTACCTATTGGTTTTAAAAGCTGTTTAGCTTTTGATTAGTTATTGGATTTTTTAGAAGTCTTAAAATCTGATAGACCAGGTTTTACCAGAAGTAATTATTACTTCAATCTGTATAATTGAAATAATTTTGGGGAATAATGTCATGAGTACTTCATTCTGTGACTTCTGCTGTGCAGAAAGTTTTGACTTGGAAGAAATTGTATTTCACAAAAATAGATTGAATTTGGATTTGAATTAAATAGAAAATTGCCTTTAATCCAATTAGAATAAATCACAAAGGTAATCCAGAACCATTACCTGAGGTACATTAGGAGGTATAAGGGAGGAGGTTCTAGTATTTGTTTAATAATACATGTTATTCTAGTGATTGTAAACAAAGTCTGAGTTCTGTTATATTTGTAGCCACTTTCAAAATGAAACGTAGCCTTTGGTTTGTAATTTGCGATTTGAAAGTGATCATATAGTGATGTTAGAAATTTTTATTGAAAATTACTTCTCATGATCCATTTGGGTGGAATGTACTTTTTAATTCCTTCTTGAAACTAGTAAATCTTGACTGGTAGCAAAAAAAAGGTTAACAGAAGAAAAAGAGCAATTGACTCTTAGATTCAGAATCTTTGGCTTTTAACTCTAAATTCTGTGGAATAGATTAAATATTTCAATGAAAGATTTAGCTGGTTTTTGTAACTATATATTTGAAGATGTTATGCTTGTGAGTAATTAAACATGATTGAAGATTAGTCTCTCAAAGATCTTGCTGAAGCTGGTTGTAAAGTACTCAAAACAAATTAATTTGAAAGAACACTCAGACCACAAAACTGCTTTGAAGAAAAATAATCTATGCTGAAAGTTCTCCTGAGTAATGAGAGAAAACCATAGAAAGATCTCAGCATTGTAAAACTTGCTTAAATGAAAAGTAAGTTACTAGGAAAAAACCTACTCTTGCTCAGTTTTTTTGTTGTTTTTATTTGTTTTTGGTTTTTTTTTTTCCAGTGTATTTAGCACCAATATGGCCTTCCAAATCTTGTGAAATAAAGTGATGTAATAGCATGGTCATGTACTGCTATAAACCAGAAAAAGAATAGAATCTTTTTGTTAGATGGTTCTTAATAATCTGGATTTCATTAGACTAAGAATGGTTCAGAGATTCCTGGAAATAGCATGCTATCTGAGCTAATACTGTGACATTAAAAATCTTCAGAGTAATCGAATTAACTATAAATGTGCACGTGCTTGAGAATAACACACTGTTCTTGTATGTGTGTTTAAAATTGTGAGGGTATATGTTGGGAAGGGAGGACAGTTACAAAACAAATTACTTTAGACAGTCTCCCAGAAAGCCCTCCAGTCATGTGGATTTAAATAACATCTAGGAATAGCTGGATGCCTCTGGCTAAAAATGATGTTTCAGATGCAGTAGCTTTGACAACTGCTGAAAAGTCTATTAAGGCTCATGATGAGTGTGACCCAGCTTTCTGCAGTGGAACAGAAGAACATATTGAATTAATCTTTAAAATGGATAATAATATTTTAATCATAGTTTCTACTAGATCCTGCAGAAGACTGAGATTTCTCATCTGCAGCATTCTCCTACATTCAGTTTTTGGTTCTTGCAATTATTTAAAAAAACAAAACAAAACAAAAAAATCCAACCAAAACAATCAAGCATCTAAAAGTTATAAAATAAAATATGTTTATTTCCTGTTCAGTGAAAGAATACTGTCTCAATTCAGTTTAAGGGCTGCAACCCTATTCCAGAAATGTAGTTTTCTAGTAAGAGTTTTATGACTTAAATGAGAAATCTCTAGTAAGGGTGAGGGGAATTAAACTCATCTCAGGAGTGCGAACTCCCTAATTTCTGAAGTTTCAAAAATAAGTTAACCTATCAAAATGACCAAAAAAAAAAAAAAAAGGTGGGAAATCTAATAAATATAAAAATAAATAGCTCAAATGAGAGTTAGAGGGGACAACCTAATAAAAAGTAGATATTAAAAATCTCTCAAACTTTTAAAAGGCATTCCTAGCCCAACACCTGACATAAGAGCATGATGCTTGGCCTTCCTCTGAGCAAGATCACTGATCCAAGAGTAGCCTTTGGAAGAAAATGTGTCTCTGTAAGCCTCTGGAATGAACTGAGTTTTAGTGTTAACATTTACAGACTGTGATATTGAAATTGCCCGTGTTGTTCTCACAGGTTCCTGCAGCACAAGCTCTCCTTGCTGTAGCCACAGAGGAAGCAGTAGCTGGAGGAGTTAGATTTTTGGCAGCGTTCATGGCCCAGCAGTCTGGTAATTCACCCTGTGCACTGCCAGCCTGGGGGGTGAGCTCAGGGGCCTCAGGTCTGGTACTTGGTGAATGGTCTGACTGATGGAGACCTGGAAGCTGTCAGAGCGTGATAGCTGAAGAAATTACAGTAAAACAGGGGGCAGGTAATGTCAGGAACATACTGTGCAATCAAATGGTGAAGGAAAATAAATATGAGAACATCCAAACAGAACTTGGTTGTCTTATGGTAAATTTGTCTTGTTCTGAGCTGTGCCGCTGGATTTGAGGTTTACCCTCTGTGCTGGCATTTGGGTCTGCTGCAAGTCAATGCACTAGGCAGTTTCATTAGCAGTAGTGACATTCTTGTGCTTAAATTTGGGATTGGCTGGTGAAAGTTGAGACAGCCTCAGTTGGTGTGAGGATCCAGGTGGTTTTCACCAGCACAAGTTTTTAAAAAAACAAACCCGAGTTAAGTATGAGAAGGTAGTCAGGGCTTTTTTTCCTTTTTCTTTAGTATTTGTATTTCTACTCACAAAACAGGTCTGATCTTCCTCATTCATCCTGGGGTTTAGTGCTCTTACCTCCCCCCAGCCTTTGCTTGGGCGCGAAGCAGGACCTGTGGCAATCAGCAAGGACTTGGGGCTGCTCATCAAAGATCAGCAGTCTTGGTGACCCTGAGGATTAAAAGGGAAAGCAATGGATGTCCCAGAGAGCAAAGTGAACAAAGTAGGTTGTCCAGAGGTCTCTTTCAGTCACTGGTACATTTGAGCTCGAGCTGCCTGTCCCAGTGGTCTTGTTCTGCCTGGGTTCTGTTCCTTCTGTGTGGCTGAGGCCCCCAGCTGCTGCCACCCTGACATTCTCTGGCAGAGAAATCTTCATTCCCTAGAGAAAGGAAGGGAATGAAATCCCTTAAAAGGGCAAAAATAATCCTTATTTATTTATGAAAGTTTAAGAAAAATTGTTACAGCTTTTGCGTTTCTTATCAGCTAAATCGGTAACACTAGGTGTTACATCTATCACAACAACAAAAAAGTTTATTCAAAGCCAAGGACAGTAGGAGTGCTAGAAAGTAGTTTTGTTCTGAGGCAGATTTAATTTAAGGAAGGTTCTTCTATTTCAGGCAGTCCTTCGGGACAGCTGCAAATAACATATATGAGGTGCTAAAGGGTACTAGGATAGCGCAATGTTTTTAAATGCTGCTGTTTTGATCTTTGATTGCAGTAAGGTTGTCTAAAATGCTTCACTTCAGGTCTTTTCCAGCTTTCAGTATTGGTTGCTTCCCAGTCTTTTCTCACTTAGCCCACTCAGTTCCTTTGTCTGACTGAAGATGTTGCTAACACAAACCAAGAAGAATCTTTTTTCTGTTTCTTAAAACTGGCAGATCTGTGCAGTCTATGTAAGAATGGGGACAACTGCTACAAATAACTTGGAGGTGTTACATTTGTTTCAGCCACAATTAGGCTAGGGCACAGCCTTGAGCCATGCCATGTATCAGCTTAAAATTAAATTTAAATCACTCAGCCGGTTGAGAAGATAGAGGCAAAGATACTGAGGCAAAGAAAGCCTTTGAGTAGCTGGAGAAGGTTTTGAACAAATTCAGCAATGAAAAGAATACTCTGTGACCTAAATTTACACCACTGGTGTCCTTGAACTACAGCAAGAGCTGTTACCAAAAAAAAAAAAAAAAAAAAAAAAAAAATATCCCTGTTTTGCCTGGTGTGTGCAGTCAGAGAATGAACGATTTCCTCATGTGCCCATTGTGTGATAAGAGATACTCCCAATGAACTGGGGAACAAGCTGGGGTGATGTGCCAGAGGGGTTAGTGTAAAGGGACGAATTTGAGTTTGTGGAGGATTTCCACAAGGAGGATTTCTCAGGTAGGATTTCCAAGGACAAATTTGGAGTTGTGTTCTACGTTTTTAAAAGCTTTAGCTCTAGGAAAATAACACTGCATGCTAAGAGAATGCTGTTAAGGCGTGTGGTGTAGCAGGGGTTGTCCCACCAGGCAGTGTGTAGTCTTGAAGGATCAGTTTTATTGCAGAGGACAGCCTTGCCTGATCTCTGTCTTCAGGATCACACCAAGTCTTAGGCATAGAAAGCCTGCTTATGATTATGTAAAAACAAGATTTTGTTAGAGGGAAGGCAAGCCCAGCCTAGTTTCTGGTAAACAATGGTAAATACTGCAAATGCAGGAGGAGGGAGAGCAGCTCCTGTGCAGGTAGGAGTCCTGCAGAGTGTCAGGGAACCAGACCTGAAGCAGTTCTGCAAGGCTTTTTGACCTGAGGTTGGGTGGGGCAGAGCAAAGGGTCACCGGGTGGTGTCATCCAGCCAGGCAAGCCCTCCAGTCTGGCCACCTCGCCCTGGCCAGTGGACACTGCCTGGTCTAGAGTCTGATGAGTTCTGCTGGACAATGAGGAGTAGGAAGTGTTGCCTCTGTCTCCTTCTGATTCTCTTTGGACATCACAGACCAATTAATGTATTATAAAAGTGGAGACTTGTCTTGAGCCCAGAAACATAAAACTTTATTTCCACATCACCCTTCCCCACAGTGTGTTTTATGGTTTATAATGAATAAAACAAACAAAAAACCTCATATACATCTGAGAAAAAAAAAAATTAAGTTTCTATTGTGAGAAAATGGGGCAAAAATGTCAAATGTTCCCTTTAAAGACTTGTCAGTTTACTAACACTGTTTGTATCACCAATGCAAATTATTTATCTGCTAAGATGCACAGAGCTCAGTGTTCCTGAGTTGTTAGCAGTGCTTTGTTGATGAGCTCCATATACTGTTGCTTTATTTTCTTGTTAAATATGTTTAGTAAAACTTGGATTTCATGTTACAGTTCCTTTCTCCTTCAAGGTGGCATTGTCTGTTAGAGAAGTTAACTCCTGTGGCTTGTGATAGTATCCAAAGAACCGCTAAATATAAATCACCTGTGCCCATATCCTAACTTTTAAAATGTACTCAAATTCAAGATAAATTACTTCAAAATATATATTTGTTTGTTAAATTCCTTGAGTTACTCAAATGGAAAGTGCATTGAAATCTCCATAAATAATGTATACTAGTGTCAGTAATGTGTAAATCTCTTTCTGGAATAAGCAGTTATGTTTCATAGCAAGAAATGTGTTGGATTTGCCCACTTAAATGGGTTAGAGCTGCTGCAAGGAATGCTGTTTGTTGCATCCTTTGTGATTTAGACACAGTTTGCTGGAAAATGTTTAGATTTTAGTTTTGCTGGCAGGCAGTTTTGCTGCATATTGCTCAGTGTGCTGCTGTGGTTTGGGTTGCAGGAGCTCTGGCAGAGTGGGTATTTCCTTATAACAAGAAAGCAAGCCAGCACTAGGGTCCTTTCAGCATGTGTCATAGCTCAGCTTTTGATTTAACAAGGAGACAAGCTGAGAGCTGGTTAAACCTCACCAGTGTGGGAAAGCAGTTGTCCTGTGAGGGGGAATGTGCTGAAGCCAGTACAAAGGCAGGCTCAGAAGTGAATTTCTACAGTGACAGCTGATATGTTTCTGTCTGTACATGAACTACCAAATTTTATTCTCAGTACTGCAACATCCATTCACTTGGAAGTGTTTTACTAGTCTTGTGCATACTAAAATAATGTAACAAAATGCTAAAGTTATTTAGCTTTTAAGCATCTGTAAGCTTATTGGAGCATTAACTCTGTTCATAGTAAACTACAAAGCTCACTCAAGCTTTGTTAGTGCTCTAACAGTAGTAATGCTGGTTCTTTATTTGTCAATAAATATAATTGTATTACACAATTTTGGTTAGATTTAGTGTTTATGTTGTTTAGGTTAAACCTTGCAATGCTTTGTTGGTATGTGCAGGTATAGGTTATTCTGCCTTCGAACACCTGAGGCTCTGAGCTTATAGCAGGAATCAGAACTAAGACTATGGAACTCAGTGTCCTTGCAGAGGTTATTGCTTTAGGTAAAAGGGGCACTTCACTTTCTTTGTTGTTTCCTACCTAGTGGATTCTAGTGCTTTATGTGACTCCACAAATGCTGCCTTAAGTTTCTTTCTATGTGTGGATTTTAGTATTTTGATACTGACTAAAAATAATGAGATTTTAATAAATCACTTAAAATCCCCATACACTGATGTTGTCTCTTCTGGTTTGTGTTTTCAGCATAACTCTTTGTCTGAAATATTTTTTAGCATTTTTAATAATATATTATATATATATATATAAAATATATTGTTATGATGTAAAATGGCAATGCTATTAGTATGCTGCAATTGTGAGATCTAGTTAAATGCTGTGTCCTTTTCATGACCCTCATATTTTCCCTGTGAGTTTGCATACTCTTGAGTTACTAGAAAACCTGTGTTATGATAAATATGGACTCTTGGTTGTTACAGCTCAGCTAGGTCTTAAAATTATTTCCTGCTAAATATTTATCTTCCATGTTTATGGAATGTGTACATTTGTATGTGGTAAGTACATTCCACACCAGCAAATTATTTTATAAGCAATTTGATCTGTTTATTCTGAAAAAGCAAGTCCTCACACTCGTGTCTCCTCTCCTTAGGCATCCCAAATCTTTGGGTCATACCAGGCAATAATAAAAATCTAAATATCTTACTGCAGGATAATAGATTTTCTTTTTCTTACACAAGAGCTGGTCAGGTGCTTTAGTACTGTCAGTGCAATATGAAGACTGGCTGTAATTCCTTGGTGGTTCTCAGTACTGTTGGGTTGCATAACTGGCAGTATCTGCTGCAGAAGAAGTCAAATATCTCTCTGCCAATTGTGTGTATTATCCCAACACACCAGTCTTAGTTACTGTTTCAGAGAGGACTACAGGAGAAAGGACAATTCTTGAAAACTAAATGCAGAAAAAAACCAAGGCTGTTTTCATACCCTTGGGTGGTGATATCAGGAGTCTGAAAATTTGTGCTATTTAGGCATATGAGTGGTATGTCCAGGTCTTGTTTGCATTAATTAGATTCTACTTACAATTTTATTTTTCTTTTCTTTAGTATAATGCTTCACCACAGCAGCAGAGAGATATAATAAAGAGTAGGAGTCTGGACAGGAGGCTACAGGAACCAATAGTTTTAACAAAATGGAGGCACAGCACAATTGTGCTGGATACCAACGACAAGGTAGGAGCAAGTTATCAGCATGCTGAAAGGTCACTTGTTTCTGATATTTGACATACTTAATGTACCAGAAGTTACTATGCCTGAATTTCTGAAATTTCGTTTTTCTTTTGGTCTCTTGTATCATTGTGGCAAAAACAAGGGCTATTCAATAACTTCACTACTGTTACTTTGTGAATAGTACCTCTTTTGTTGTCCTTGAAGTATTTTAACTAGTGTCAGTTCAGGGAAAAACCTGTGCATGGTTACAACAGGGTTGTGATATTGTTATTGAAGGGCAGAGGACGGTACTGAAAGTGCTGAGACACTTGGCTTTGAGCCTCTCCACAGCTGAGCTGGTGTTTAGTCTGAAAAATGCTGTGGGTCAGTAACAACAAAAGCTGGTTTCTGCCCATTCTTAGGGCATGTTCTTTATGGGCTGTACAGTGAGAGGTGCTGTTTAGGCCAGCAAGGAGACAGGACCTTTCCCTTGCTCTCCCTCTGCTATGACCTATTTCCTTGTAATTTCTGCTTGTGCTGGGTCGTTCTGCCTATGGGTCAGGAGAGGTGAGCAGGGAGGAACTGAAATGGGAGCTGTACAGTGGTGACATGGTGGTTTCTGTAACTTCACTGCAGTCCATCCCAAGATAGCTGGAAAATGAAATAACTTGGTAGTGCTGAATCTTAGCACAAAGTTCCCAAAATGAAATACCAAGAAATGGCATTGTAAGCTCCCTTTTCCTGAAATTCTGAGAAAAAAATTAAATGACTGCACATTTGAAAATGTGAGGAAAAGCCTGTGAGTGGTCTTGTTTAATCACACATGTCAAAGCCAAACTTGAATGGACAAAACACAATAGTTGTAATGACAATGGATCTGCTGCCCAGAATGTTACTTGCTCGACCTGTTGTATCCATTTTAATGGACTTGCTTTCCATGAGTTGACTTAGCTCTTCAGAACAGGATTTATTGGATTTGATCTTGAGCTTTTGAGTTGTCACTTTGGGATATATCATGTGTGGTGTTGAGGAGGCAGTGGGCCGTGCTTGGCTGGAGACTTTGCACCTCTCGGCATGAATTCAGCTCCAGCGATTCTGAGATCCTGCTGCTGCTCCTTTCCCCTCCCTCCTCCTCCTCCTCCTCTGCCTCATGCATCCTTCTGTACTCAGTGTGTTGTGGCACTCCATGAGACACAGCCTAGATGGAGCCCTGATAAATCAAAGCTGAGTGGACACTTCTAGCCTCATGTGCAGTTTATGCTTCACAGGTATGAACGATTTTGTTGGAGATAGCTTGAAGTTATGGCTTCGCTTTTAAAGAAGACTAAACTTTTTATTTTTTGGCGTAAGATGTACTGCTGTTTTGGCAAGAACTTTATGTAATGCTGCACTGAATGAAGAAGCTTTTGTAAAATATTGAATAAGTGGAGCTGTTTACATTTCTTCAAGGCTCAATGTTCACATATGAGTAACTTAAACCTAGTGAAGCAAACATGAAAATGCACAAATGTTATGGGTAATAATCAAAATAAACTTTGTTTGAGCTGCATTGGTGAAGTCTTAAGTTAGCAAACTAAAGCTCCTTTAACAGTTTCCAAACATGTAGGCAGCATGTGTTTTTTATTGTTAAGAAGATAATAGTTTATATAAAGCACACTATTAAGGCTTTGAGAAAATTTAAAACATGTAGTGGAGCAATAAACTAATATTTTATGGAAAGACAAATAATTTTTAGTCCATTAATGCAGCTGTTTTATTACCTCTAGCAGGCACACTGTTAATATATTCTGTTTTAAATTAGTATGTGGAAAGGGAATGTTTCATTACCACAGATACTGGATTTCATGTTCCAGAGTTGCTTTTGCTGTATGAAAGCGGCCTCAAATTCAAATGAAATAGAAAGGAAAGCAAGTGGTATTTGTCTGGATGGGCACATGAACCCCAAACTTTCTTTTTGGCTGTCTCCTAGGGAAACAGTTTTCTATTTATTTTCCTTATTTGTTTGGTTTTTTTTCCTGGAAAAACAAAGGAACTCAACTGTATGAAAAAAGGGCAAAAGAGTACTTGAAATGTGTCAGAGTGAAAGTGTGGGTTGCCAGGGCTCATGGGAATTTGATGATACCAAACATTCTGGTTAACAGTTTATTGGCTGTGGCACATATCTGGGTATAACCATCAGCTAAAAAAATTGGTAAGCATAGGAAAAAATACCTTACTGGGGGGGAGAATTGATTTTCTTAATTCAAACTTTTTTTTCTCTCTGCAGAGATCTGAAAATATGGAACATTTAGGCTGCTCTACTTAGGAGTGCTAAAGTTCTCTGTTATTATGCTACTAAAAGAACTAGTGGGCCACTTTTAGATGGATTTAGGTGCAGAGTGCTATGTAATGCTGCAAAGGCAAACTGGGTTTAGGAGAGCTATCAAGGGATTTAAAATGAGAGAGGGGGAGAAATGTGCTAACAGTAGCAGAGAACAAGTGATGTTTTTCTTCCATTTGAAATTCTTTACCAGATTTTCAAGCAGTGTGTTTGTGCAAGGCGCTCATTACTTCAGAGAAAACACACATGCCTTTTTTTTTTCTTTTGTTGCTCCAGATGGGCAATTTTTCTAGTTTTCAGAGATTAAGTATTTTATTTTGGTCTGTAGTTAACAGTTCAAAACAAAACCCCAAATCTCTAGTGATTTTCAGTGTTTGATTATATCAAAGGAGACTAATGACCATGAGTCACAAAAATTAATAGTTGGTATGTGTTTTTCTACATATATAATTTTTTAATGCTAATCTTGTATTTACTATGTATAAGCACACGGAAACATATTGTATTTATTCTTTAAAATCATAGTATTTGTATATGGTATGTTGCAATCAGCCATTATTTTACATATACATCATAATTTGATAGCAATGTCATAAAAAAAATCTACCCTTTATAAGGATGAAGGCTTTGCTTGAAACTGATGCAGCATGTATTAACATATTTTTTCAAATGGTTATGTACTTATTAACCCAGTTTGAGTGTTGTCTGTAATCCTTGTAAGAACACTGTTTAAGTAAGTTTAGAATGTAACTGAGAATATTATGAATGCCGAAAAGAAGTACTTTTCTAATCTATGAGTGTGTAAAAAGAAACAGTGAGAGGAAGCATCTTTAGGTTAAAAAAATAAAATAATTGTGTAAAAGATAATAATATTAGGAATATTAGTAATAATATCAGTATCTGTTGACATTGTCTATTTGAATTTTATAGGAATCATCAACTGCTTCTAAGGCCAGTTTTCCAGAAAATGAATCATCTCCTTCTTCACCAAAACATCAACCCACAGTCAGTATGCAAAATTTTTAAATAAATAAATAGATGTTGTAGAAACTGAGCTATTCATGATTAGAGAACTGAGGGAAAGCCTTCTTTTTCTTGGGAAAAATAATGGGATAAAACTTTTTGAAGGCTTTGCATTTTAAAAGGAATGCATTACATCCAGCTCTGCTTTCAGGAAAAAAAATGTGAATGTCCTTGGTTTCAATGCAATTTAATGATAGTAGATTAAGTAAAAAAAAATCACCGTGGCCAAATTTTGCCTAATTATGTAGAACTCAGTTTGCTTCTTTTGACAGTCACATCTTAAGGAACATCTAGAAAGGTAAAAACAGAAAATTCCCCCTCTTCAGAGAATCCCTCACTGTTAGTCACTAATAGTTGATATCTAATTTTGGCTTGTGTTCCAATCTTCTTAAAGAGACATAAGGGACCTGGCATGAATAAACTGTGTCCTTTTGATTTAGTAGAATAACTTCTGGGAGAAAAGAAAAGAAGCCTGCTAAATAGCTTTTTAAATTTCAGTTTATTTTTAAAATGTGATCATTCCTTTTTAAACAGCAGGAAATTATTAAAAAAAACTTCATTTTTATATATTTTTTTAAAATTTTGGAACTGTACTACAGTAGCATTGAAATAAGTAACTTGGTCAGCTTCTCCTGTTTCTTCCTTACTCTATGTGCAGGGGAATAGTTCTCTGTCTTAGTCCTGATAATCCATTCTCACAACACTTTATACAGTTTTTCAATAAAATAAACATTTATTAAGCAAGCACAGCTGATAGCCTTACACAAAAGCAATTATTGCTGCATGTAATCTAATTTCATTCAATATGGCTCAGATCTTGAATTTTTGAAACTATATTTTGTGGAAGAGCTCACTCCTGATTTAGGTAATAGAAAAAACATCTGTATTTTCTTTAGCTGTTCCCTGGGATTCAAATATTCCAAAGAAAGCTGATACATTTTTGAGAATTTTGATCCTTAACCTGCTTTCCTCTTCTTTTTTTTTGGATTCCATTAATTTTCCCGTTAGTACCCCCTAGTGTTGCTGCTAAGTAACAGTATGATACTTTCTCTGAATAATACTCTGGAACATCCCCACTGGTTCCACTGTGAGTAATTGACTAAAACCATGATTTATTTTGGGAAGTGAGCACAAGTTTTCAATCACTGTGAAAGTTGGTAACAGGCTGTTCTGCTTGTTAAAAGCCTGTTAAAGTTGGTTAAAAGGGTGCAGTACATGGGACTGCTGGTCCCTGGTCCACATGGATCACAAATAGAATAATCTAAAGAATGGGATGATTCATTTGTTTGGCCTTTTGGAGAGTGGATGAGGAAAGGAGCTCACTTCTTAGGTTATAAAAAATACCAGTTTTGGAAAAATAGTGCTTATGTCATTGGCTTGGAAAAGCATTTCAGCCTGGTGAAGATATTAAACTGAGTAAGAGCAGCAGTTACCACTGCACTAAAGTAACATCTGATCTACCAGCTAAAAGCCTTGATAATGTGTCTTTTCTGTATTTTATGTGCTGGGCTTGAGTCATGCAGGTAGAATTTTTAAAGTCCATGAAAAACAGATCTATGTCTCTGATAAGAGTGTTGTCCATGGTATCCCAGCAAAAAAAAAAAAATTCTTCAGAATTGTATTGTGCAGTTATGGTCCATTTAAATTTGAGATTTAGAGGAAAATTCTGAAGAGGATCTATCTTCTGTTTTCATTTGATCTAGAATTGAGGTCATTATTTTAATGATATAGCTAATTTGGATCCATTCCCTAGTTAATTGTTTCAACTAATAGCTTATTACACACATTAGGAACTGTTAGAAGCTGTTACTGAAAAGGAATTGATGATAAAATCATTTAGCATTCTTCTAACACCACTGGCTGGTCAGACAAGGGTGGGGTGTCAGACAAAAATGGTAGATTTTGATACCTCATCTTAAGGTGATGGTTTAAGTTAATCTTTTTCTCCTAGAATGCTTTTTGAACATTCCTTCATTTTATTATGAGAGACTAGAAATACTCACTTCAAATATTTCAAACTTGCAAATAGCCTTCTTGTTCAGCAGTGTTCTTCTCCCACCAATCACTGACTGGTCTTCAAATTCTTTTGTAGACATGCTACTATAGATGGTTTTCATCAACAAGACATAACTAAGTAGTTAAAAATTCTGTTATTTTCCATGGGGATAAGAAAAAAAAGAGGACATCAAAGAAATGCTTCACTCTTCTGTTTTTAACGTGAATATGTGAATTTTTTATGCACGTCAAGCATGTTTTATTTAAAATAAGAAATTACATTAAAATTAATAGGAATAATTTATATTGGAATCTAGGCTGGTTTTTGGTCAGCCACCTCCTTTTTTAGTAAAGGACTACTGTGCTATTATTATATTACTATTTTGCGAATCATTGTAAATTTTACATTCATAATTTTCACTACTTACACAAATTATTTAATTTGGCTTGTCCAAAGAACCTTGGTCTTGAAGGAAAGCTTTTTACCCTCTGAATGGTAATAAGTACTTTCCCAGAGGAATTTTGATTTTGCTGATCTCTGAATATTTAAATCTGCTTAAAGACAGTTTCTTGAAGTTATGACATGAGTAAAGATGGCTCACTGCCAGAAATGGATTATTTGGACTTCTGTGATGTTAATAGAAGCAGACTTTCTTTTGTATTTATTATGTCTTACTTTTATCTTACAGGGTCAAGAAAAGTATGGGTTATTAAATGTGACAAAAATCACAGAAAATGGGAAGAAAGTTCGGTAAGTCTTGGACTTTAAAAGTACATGTGCTTAGGGTTTATCAAAGGTCTTTTTATTATGACAGCATAATGGGGTTTGCAACTTCTTGCTTTTTGTCTGAATTTCCCTTAGAGGTGTTCCTGTATAACACAGCTTAACCTTACCCCATGTGTTTGTCCCAGTGAGCCAAAGCTAATGGACTGCAGAGAGCCAGAGGCTCATGGATCAAGGCTTCACACAGGCCAGCAATTTCCTGAGGTGTATTGATGAGAGACAGCTCTTTAAAATGGGATTGACTGACTGATTTACTGAAGAACAAACCTGTATAGGTTATAGTGTGTCTTGTTCCTTGGATAAAATCAGTATAAGAGGAACTTTCAGACTTTCACTTGTTGTCCTTTAACTTCCGAGGAGTGTACATCCATGTGCTCCCTAATTCTTCCTTCACTATGCTTGTGAAGGGTTTGGAGCAGTGCATTGCCCAACATCAGTCTCCTGTAGATGATGAATGACCTAATTTCTAACTTTCCTCTGCGTCCCAGGCAGCAATTTGCACTATAAATAATAATGTGTAATCAGGTGATGCTGTCTGACTACATTTCTGGTGTTTTGAATCAATGGCAAATACTGCAGAGGTGTGGCACATCCTCAGAGTTAATTTAGATTTGCTTCTTGCCTTTTTTCCCCTTTTTATTGATTTTTGGTTAATACAATCTTTTAGATCTAATAGTGTGTTATATCTAGTTCAGTGTTTCCCAGATTTGTGATACACGAAGCATGCTCGTTCTGAGGATTAAACAGCCAACACCCAGCTCTTATTGTAGACCCACCCTGACCTAGTCCAGTGTAGCTGAGCAGCACGTCTGACCTTCAGTTTGGTTCCTCAGAGCTGCTTGTAAGAGTTTGGTAGGGCTGGGTAGACAGCAGCGTGTGTGAGCTGCTGCTGGAACAGTGTGCTGTCATCATTCATGTTGCATCTGCTGGAATCATTGATCTGGATTGTTGCACTGCTGAACAGAAAGATGCATTGTGGCCATGCTGTCACTTTGAGAGCTGTTAATTAATAATTCATGTTGGGCAATGGGAATAGATATTCAAGACTTGTCAAGATTTTTTTTTAATAACCTCAGAGGACGAGCCTGCAGGCATAAAATCAAATAGTCAGACAACTGAAACAACTCGTTCTTTCTCTTAATTTTTCAGATGTGTAGGAAATACTTTTTTGCCAATATAAATGAACTTATTGCATAAACATTGGACAGTTGCATGTCAGATCAATGAATTTCAGAATTATGCAGTAGTTTTGCATGATCTGTTAAGTACACAGGGAGTTGAGCGTTCCAGATTAGCCCCTTTGAAATTATAATTGCATGGTGTTTCTCTTGGTGTACTGCTTCTACTACTAATTAGCTTTGTTTGATTTAGACTTTGATGGTCAGGCTGGGATTGTTAGCATATGTTTCCTTCTACAAATATGATAGCAATTAAGACTTACTGATGCCACTAATGACTATATATGTGCTTAACTATATTAACATACAGGTCAGCTGAGCAACAATGATCGACAGTTTAAATATCTGCTTTCAGAGTCAATTTATTTTATGTTTGTTTATAATTATTTACAGAAAGAATTGGATGTCATCATGGGCAGTATTACAAGGGTCATCGCTGCTGTTCACTAAAACCCAAGGAAGTGGAACTGGCTGGGTAAGCCCAGGAACAGCCCTCACCCTCCCTGAAGTGTTAGTCATGTAAAGCACAATAAACTAAAGCACTCTTATTTGCAGGGCCTAAATACCTATGTATATACACCTAACACAGAAAAAAACCTGTGTAGAAGTTGGCAAGAAAATAGTTTAATATAACCATAATGTAATTATGATGTAGAGCAAGAAGAAAACCAGTTATACGTGTGAATTTTTGACAGGAAAGAGACTGGTAACACTGAGGTGCTCCTTAGGCTTGAAGTTATTTCTCCAGGCCAAATACTTTTGTATTCTTTACTAATGTGTTTGTCACAGTTTGTATGCCTTACCATTCTTGGATTTTTTTTTTTTTTGAAAACTTCAGGTAATTTTGAATGTGATGCATATAATAAAGAAAATAGTATGACACATGGCTTCTTGCATTGGCCCATTTGAGCAATGCAGTGTCATTGTCTTATGATTTAGTCTTTGTCTTGCTGGATTCCATATTTTGTTCTAGGTCTTCACAGTGCATGGCAAGCACTTGTACTTATTTTGTTGTCTGATGAAGACCAAAAGAGAAACATCACACTGAAGAGGATGATTGTTCAATTTTTTATCACCTCTAGTGTAATAGCACTATCATTAAATTTGCTATATTTATCCAGCTGCATTCCTGCATTAATAGGTATAGAAATGGCTCTTTATCTATGGCTTTCATAGCCTCCTTTGGAGGTCTGACATTAAACTCTGTGGATCTCCTGTAATAAGTGAAGACAGGCCAGAGCCAGTGTTCATCATTTCCATGCATTGTCTTGTGAATTCCACGAAATTGTCTCTTACAGATCTGTGCTATCTTACTGTGCTTTACTGCACTTTACTGCGCTTTCTGCTTGGCTCACTTTCTCCTGCTGTGCTTCATTATGGATAATGAATTGAAATTGACAATTCCTTTCTATAGTATTGAGGTTTTTTCAGACCTGTAAATATATTTTTCCCTCCTTCTGTAGAAGGGGTAGTTGGAAAAAAATAGATGAGGATGGATAAATAAAGTTTGGAGTAGAAGGGAATGAAAAAGGTAAAGTTGGGCAAGATGATCAAACAGAGAGAGGAAAGGAAAGCCATAAAGATGAAAGGCATGAAAGAAGGCAAATCCCACTGTATGGCAGGAAGCGGATTTTGGTGGCTTCTGTGATTGCCTTTTGCAGCCAAAGATCCAAAAAGTGTTTTAATTTTACAGATATTAATAAGCATATTACAAAGTAAAAGTTCTGCCTACGTAACTAGTCAAGTTCCAAAATCTCAGTTTCAGCTACTAATACTCTTAATTCAGGTGTGGCTGTAAATCAAAAGAACTGTCTTTTTCAACTGTATATTGATATCATTAAAACAATGCTAAATAGTTCATGAATATATAATAATGTTATAAAGATGTGTGCCCAAATTAATTATCCATAAAATAATGGATAATAAATCATTGCATGATTTATGGGCTCTAGTGTAAGTCATGTTATATCAGATATAATAATTTAAAAATAAATAAAAATCTTAACAAATACATTTAAAAATAAAAATGTGTAAATTCTTTTGATAATTTAAGTGGAACAGAAGTCCCATAATCAGAGTATTTCTGTGAGACAGTGTTAATTGTGTGTACTGTAAAGCACTAGAGTAGGGTCAGCAAAATAAATATTAACAGTACAAACAGAATAAAATGAAGCTGGAAATATTAAGGAAAAGTATCTTTCAAGCACCTAATGTTTTACACCTGCGTAATCATAGCTGACTTTGTAGATATGTCAGAGTGTTCAGCACACACTCTTCTTGGTCTCTGTAGGCAAATTTTTTTTTTTAGGTGTTCAAAATTCCACTTCACGTCTCAAACTTTGTTCTGTGTCCATATTTTAATAAGGTGAAGTCAAGTCTAACAGTTTGATGTATGATAAAAATTACATTTCTTCTTCACCTTACGAGAATATTTAGTATTCACCTAATGATTGATATAACCATATCTTCTTTTTTTGTGCATTGTTTTTTGACTTCATCACTTTTCTTCCTTTTTCTCATCAAGTCATTTTGCCAAGGGGGCTCAATTCCTGAGCTCTTGCTCTCGCTGCTTTCTTCTTGGAAAAATGCTCTCAGTCATCGACCTGCTGTCACCTATGTAAACTCTGCCCAAGTTTCAGCTATCACTGTATGTGTTCTTGTTGCATGCCTCTTGTCCCTGTAAGGCTATTTGCCACTAATCCTGAAAGTAAACTTGAATTTTTCCAAGATTTAGTTTTGAAACTTCATATAACAGCACATGTATCTTGTTTGCTGTTTTTGAAAGTCATCCAAGGTGCAAATTAACACAAGTTTATTGCAATAATCCTGTAATTGTTCCCCTGGAACAAAATAGAAAGCGTATCTAGTTCATTGGTGCTAGATTTATAATCCAAATTTGCCCACTATTTGAACCACTAGTGCCTTAACTAATAAGCAGCATGATATTCTGAGTTTTTTAACAGATATTTTGTCTGATTCATTCTAACACAACTAATGTGGAGTCTTTGTATGGTGCTTATGATACCTTTGATACAATGTGTACGTGGTGTTTGATAATTATAGTAATGGAAATACCCAAAAATGTAAATGTTATGCATAAAGGGGTGAAAGGAAAAGAGCACAAGGATGTTCTGGCTATATTTCGCATTCAGAAAGCTGATGTAAATTTGTAAATTTATATGTAATAATTTGATTTTTATATTTAATTTAAGCATCTGTAGTTATGTTTTGAAAATGCCAAGCACAGAATAGCTGCCTATCAAAAATTCAGTAATTAACCTCGTGTTTAAAATTATGCAACTGCCTTTTTCTTGATTGTGAAATTAATTGCTCTGTATGTGGAAGCCTGGAACAGACAACTTGTGAAAAGTTTGGTAGCCTTGTAAAAGGCTACATATTATAAGGAGATCTGGATGTTTTTAAAAGTATTTTTCATTCAGTTTTTGGTGTGAATGAGATGTATTATTATCAAAATGACAGGGCTTCATAAAGCAAAGAAAATGGTAACTGCTTAGAAGGATTAATTTGTCAACTTTCTGCAATAGGGACATGTCCTCAGTGACAAGTGCAGTGGTGGCAAACCAGGCTTGCAAACTTCCCAAGCATCAAGGAAATAGATGCTCTTCAAGATTCATCTGAGCAAATTCTTGTTGATGTTACACAACTGTGATTTTAGCCAAGGATGTTGTGTACATTGCTGCAGTTCATCAGTATTGCACTGCTGATTATGCAGGAGCTGAGATGCTCTTGTGAAAACTTCTTGGAATGCAAATGGTCCTATCAGTCTGGTTTAAAAACAATCCATCATTTTGTTGTGATGATAAAGAATTTTTTTTTTTTTTTTTTTTTTTTTCTTAAGCTGTTGTTTTGAAACTCCCCTGACAGCCAAAAAGATGCATCTGTCTCCACAGCTTTCTTTCCATAGTCCTTCCATGGATGAGGAGGACTTGGAATGAAAACATCCTACCCAACTCTAATTAGAAGCAGAATTACAAGAAGGTCAGGTGTCATTTGTACATCCAAAGTCTTAAATAACTTCCAGGTCTGTTTCCAAAGAATGCTAGAATGTGTCACAGTACAAACTGTGTGCTTTCTCCCTGTGCAGGCTTTCAGGACTTCAAGAAAATCCTGAAAAGGTTGAAAAAGCCTTCTATTTATTGATGTCAGTACACATCCTCAAGGCTGTCCTTAAGCTGCACAGCATCTATTCTATCTAAAGCAAACACCCTATTCTTTCCAAAAAGTTACCTCTCCCATACAACCAGCATAAGTACATCCCATGACTATGTTTTTTGTCTTAAAAAAGGCGTCAGAAGTAACTGTGGGACAGCTTTGTATCTAGGACAGCTGGCAGCACCACGTATAGACCTCTCCCTCCCTCTTTCTGTCTTACACTGCTGCCCTTACCAAAATTCCCAGGCAGCTCAAAAAAGAAATCCAGTAAGAGTAAGGTGTCTGCTCATTAAGAGCGGGATTTCTCATGACTGGTGCTGGCTAGGTAGCACTCTGTTTTGAGAAAGCAAACTTAATATCTGTGTGGCAGCAGATGCAAAAGGAAAGGCTTTTTTTTGACCTCTGACTTCAGAAGGGTTCGATTGCCTTCAGCAATTGTGCAGCATTTGCTCCTGAAAGCTTTAAGGAGGGAAATGACTGCTGGCATCTCATTTTCATAGATCCAGGAGCAGAAAAGAACCTTGACAGGAAAGCTCAAAGGAGAGCCTGCATGCTGAACTTAAAATGTCCTTGAATAGAAAGGTTGTGACAAATATGTAATGTGTTGGTGTTTAAGAAGAGCTTTGCAGGGTAGCTGGATTATTTGCCTGAATTTCCCCATCCTTGGCTTTCACACATCACTTTGGCCAACATTTGAGTGAAGGAGTGGTAAAAGTATTTTTTTTTCCCTTTTGGCTTTAGTTTTTGCTTTCTTCTGTGCTTCTCTGAAATGCTGAGGGAAGTCAGGCCAAAAAGATGAGTACAGTGCAGGTATCTGTAGGAGGTAGTGCTGTAATCTGTCAGGTGTGGATTCAGCAAGCTAATGTAGTGGAGGGCTTTTCTTTTGGTCAAAACAGCACTGACAGGTAGCATTTTTTTCTTGTTATGTGCTGATGTCACCTGTAGCAAGTCCTGTCCTATGATTCTCAGCATCATGTGGGCCATGGTTTTAACTAATCACCCCCCTGCCCCCAATCCTGTAGAGGACTTTGACACTAGTTTCCTGTTCTCTCCAGCGCCAAACTCTATAAATTGATTTAATTTTTTTTTCCAACACGCAGCAAGATTGATCTAGACTGCCAGGAAGTGTGTCTGGGACACTTTGCATGTGTATGCAGCAGTTTTGTGACTTTCTCTTGACTGGGCAGCTGCTGCAAGAGCCAAAATGGCCCAGAGATTGCTCCTGTGGACTCTGCTGCTGAACTGGGCTTCTCTCAAAAGCTCTACTATAATTAATAAGAAATGTTCTTGGATGAGGTATCTGAGAATTAAATTAGAAAGTGAAAGGCGATGGGAAATTTTTTCCCAAGTGCTAATTGGCATTGGGTAAAATAGAAGTACAGCCCTGTTCTGATACTTCATGGGTAAAATAAAGAAGTTAAGATGCTGCTTTCTATTCAACACTTCATTGCCCTTAGGGCTCCAGACGTGGAGATTTTCTAGTGGTAAACAGCCTTTCTGAAACACAATTAGCATTAATTAACATCCATGCTGGGAGTTTAATCAGAAGCAGCAGATTAGTCCTGTTTTCTGAACCATCTTTTCTCCCCTTGGGTATGGCTGTTCTTGTACAGGCTGGAAACTTGTGTTTGCAGCAAGGAGCTTGTCCTGGGGCTTAGGAGGGCCCCCAGAGCTGTCACAGGAGCAGCATCACACATCAAAGGCTTCGTGAAGAAATAAGAACATTTCTGGGGGAGCAGATGCTACAAGCTTTCCCTGGAACTACAGCATGATATTTCTGTCCTATAACTGAGTGACTTCCAGCTTTCCCTGTTCCATATTTTACTCATGTCACTTGCAATTAGAGCTTTTTGTTTGTGTGGGCCACTGAACTGGTTTCCTTGAGGAATTACATTTCAAAGCTATGTGGTGTATGTTGAAATCGTAGTAAAAGTACTTTATTTTAAAAAATTCTGATACCTAATATAAATGTGAAGGCAGGAAGTAAGAATAGCTCCCTGAGGTTTTCTTCCAAATTGTTTGGAGGGTTGCTTGTGGGTTATTTGCTCTTCAGTAGACTGACAGTGAGTTCTGTTTACTTGGTAGGACTACTCCAGTATAGCAATAGAAGCACTACAGAAAAGTATAAAAGTGTTGTGGGGGTAAATGTTTTTAGAAAAATTATAAATAGATAAATATTCAAACTGAGAGTGCTCTTTCAGTGTGGAGGGATGTGATTCTTGTCCAGCAAACCTACTGTTTCTAGTTAGATTTTTGGTTTTATATACAACTGCTGATTAAGTGGCAGAATTTTTGGGGGTGTTTTGTTCAGTTACTTATTAGCTGGTTTTGTTTAAAGCTTGGGTCTATCTTGGCTAAAATCAAGCTACAATCAAATGTTGTATGGACTTCTGCTGTTAGTGATAGAAAAAAAAAATCTCTGCTGGAATCTGATTGGCATTTAAATTTGTGGAATTTTGAGGGCTTTAAGCTGAGCAGCATGTAACAGATGTGCTTAAGGGTTGTTCTGTGGAAGGTTTTTTGTTTTCCTGGTGTCATACCTGTTGATTGGTATCTGGTCTAAGTTCTGTGGACTCTAAGTATTACATGTTGTATTTAAAAGATTGCAAGACTGTAAAGAATTTCCTCAAGTTTACTTTTATCATCACTGTTCATAATTTTTTTCCAGAAGTTTGGTGTTAATCAGTCTAAGCCAGAATTTACAGTGGATCTCAAAGGGGCTTTGATTGACTGGGCCTCAAAGGACAAATCCAGCAAAAAGAATGTTATTGAGGTAAATTGTTTTATTTAAATGCAGAATTATATGCACCTCAATTACCGATGTATGAAATTTTCTTTAAGCTTAAATCAAAACTCATAAAACTGAGTTTTATCCACTTCTACCTGCTTAAATGTAGCTGTTATCTTAGTACCTGCAAGAAATGTCTATTTTTAATATGTCTGTATGGGATATGCTTTGCAATATTAAGCAGACTGTTAATGGCTCTTCTCACTGGTAATTGTTTTTGAGTATCTGTGTATTAGCTAACAGTTTTGCCAGTGAGAAGTTTAATTTGATTTAAATGATTTTACTTTTGAACTCCGGTGTGTTTTATCTGTTCTGATAATATCTGTTTTTATTTCTTTAAAGCTAAAAACCCGCCAAGGTACTGAGCTCTTAATTCAATCAGATAATGACAGCTTTATTAATGAATGGTATAAAGTTCTTAATTACACCATCAATAATCAGGTATGTATTTATATCATGAATGTTCTATTATCACAGTAATATTATTTAGTAAACTAATTGATATAACAACTTCTGAAGTTTCATGTGCATCTTCATTTACTGATTTTCTTGAGAGCAGGCAGGAGTTTTAGGATATGGCAGTACCTGGTGGTGGTGAGTGAAATATAATTAATAGTGGCAAAGGGAGAAAGATGGTCCACTGGCTTAAGATGCAGGCAGTGTGGGCTGACATCTATCTCAGAAATGAACTTCTCTGGCCAAATACTTGTTCTGTCTCAGTGACTTGAAAGGTTCTGATAGAGAGGGAATGAAAGGGAGAGAATGGCCAGGGGACAACTTAATGACATACATTCTGTTAGCATTTCATGCTGCTCTTCACTTACTATGGCTGCACTGAAGTGCAAATTAAAAGTCCTGGCAAAATATTGTATTATCTCTTATCTGACAGCATAATGCCAAGTATTTAATTATCAGAGAAGTGCTCAAGCAGTTGCTTTTGACATTGCCAAACAGGATTAACAGTTTTTTAATTCAGAAGTTGCAGGAGATCTTGCAGAAAATATTGCTCTCTATCAAGTGTACTTCATACGTATTCTTACTTTTTAGTAGTTCCAGGCTTGGCTGATGTCCATAAGCTCCAGTTTTGCTGCTTTCAGTGCCAGTCAGTGGCTTTCATTTCTCTTAGCTCTGTTAGTGTTTTTCACATACGGGTGTTTTCCACCAAAACACAGCAGGCCAATATGAATGGTTGAGTTTCTTTCTGAGCAGTCCTAGTTTAGGTTCCTAATCTGCTCTCTCTTGGTATGGAAATGTCATGGCCTTAACAGCCAGGCAAGGCAGTGTCACCCAGTCACTCAGTGACCCCTTCTCCTGTCTGCCCTGTGTAACACAACTGAGGCCACTTCTTCCCTGCTTATAAATGAGTGAAGATGGAAAGGCCAAGATATGCTGAGATGTGAGGTATTGCATGTTAGGTTGAGGAATGGTGGAATAAGGAGAGTTTATCAGCATTCTGGAGGAAATGGTGGTGTATACTGCTGGGAGCTGGTAGCCAAGACTACAAGGCATAAGTCAAGAAAATTATTAACTGCTAAGTTGAAGCACTGAAGTTTTGGGTACAAAAATTCATCAGATCTAAAGCCAGCTTTTAATTTTGGAAAGTTTATGGTAATAGTAGCTGTGGTCTCTTTCCCATGGCCAAAGCACTATTGCTAGCATAACAAGACCTTCCTCAAAGGAAAGGGCAGATCAGATTCTGTTCTCTTTGCTCCCTCAGGCTGCTGTTGTGGCAATATCCTGTACAAGAGGAACAGCAAAGGATGTGGCTGCTCTTTTTTAAATATAGAAATGTCCACGTTATTAGTCTAGACTTGTTGCATAGTACAAACTAGATCCCAGGTGACTTTTTTCCAAAGCATTTAATAGTTTTAAGATATGTCAATCCTAAAAAGCTTTGAGGCCTCTTGAAGAGTAGCAGAAGATCCTTAATGGGGACATTATTTGGGCAATTGAATATATTGATCTATGATGTATAAAAAGACTATCCAAAGCTTTTGAAAAGGAACAGGAATGAAGGTGTTTAAAAGGAACACTGCCCCACAGGTTAAAGTACAGCTTAGTCCAGGAAGTGATGCTGCTGCTCTGTGCCCTGGAGTACACAACCCTGCCTCATTTTTACAGTTTCCTTCCTTGTAAAAGAAGGCACTCTGCAGTCAGATTTTGGCAAGTGCATAGCAGTCCAGTTCACTTCAGTTGAAGTGAAGTAAAACACGCACAGTTTGGGAAGGGAATATGTTGTACTGAAGCTGAGGAAGTTTCTTTCCCCATTTCCTGGTATGTCTGCAGTCATGCACGTAGCCTGGGCTGCAGGTAAGGTAGCAGACTGGTATCTGCCTCCAAACTTCAACATGGTCTATGTTTTCACTTGACAATGTTTAATGAGAATATGCTGAGATAGCAGGAACACTGGGAAAGAATTGTAGACACTGGTGCACTTACTTTTCAGAGGGTATTCAGTGTGTTTTGACAGTAGTGAGATTTTCCAACTGATAGTTCTATTTTCTATTAAGAAAATTTTACTTATAGAGAAAACAAATTGGGAAAATGCTCTAGAAATTTTTTTTCTACTCTTATCAGTCAGGCATTTCTGTGGCAGACCATTAAATAGCTGATGTTTGTCTATTGGATTTGGAAAATAAGCCCAACCAAAAATAATTTCTGTCGTTTATTGGTTGATGTAATGAAGTGTTATCATGATAGGCTGGTTGTACTTTGTTCAGTGTCCAGTTTTATGATTAAATAGTATTTCTCAAAGTTACTCTGTGAATGAGAGTGGTGCTGTCTCTGAAGAGGTTTAACATCTAGTGTTCAGGAAAAAACAAACTGAATGTCATTATAAGGGGAAAATTGTGGATTGTAGAACTGTCTGCAGGAAATGTGTGTGTTAATGCTGTATTTTCTGAACTGGCAAACTGAGCACTGCATATCTTCTTAAATACAACAGGTAATAGAGTCTGATGAAGCATTAGATGATGAGGTACCAGATTCCCCTGGAGTGGAAAAACAAGACAAAGAGAAAGAGAAAGAAAATAAAGACTCTAAGAAACTTCGTTGTGAGTTAAAAAATTTCCATTTATTTTTTTCTAGCAATACCAGTTTTTATTTTCTACATCTCCAGTGTTATGTGTAAATAGAGAAGAATTCAAAAGGACAGCTAAAAATGAAACTACTGAAGTTTGGAAACAATCTTAATATAGTTTATTCTACATCTTGATGCCACTTGGTAAATTTTATTCCATGTTTTCTTGATTATACTTTAAAAAAGGAAGAAGAAGGAAAGAAGTGTGAAATGTCTTTAGCTCCTGATGTATGACACATTTAAAATGGGGGGGGGGGGGAAAAGCAGTGGTGAAATTACTTTCAAGGTGTCGGATGCAGAGAAATAGTAGCTGACTTACCAGGCAAACTGTCTTCTCTGCTTTCTCTACAGGCTCTATATGTAATTTTCAAAAACGTATTTATTTCTTTCAAGATATAATTCTTTCAAGAGAGGCAGGACTGGCTTTGAAACATAGCTGCATTTTTAAATTTCCACATCAATTCCATGCATAAGCTATCATTTAGTTGGTTTTGCAAGTTTTTAGTGACAGGGCTGTCTCTTGGTAGTTTGAGAAATGGATTCTATTTACAAGGAGTTTCAGAATGTTAAGGAAAAAATTAGGGCTGCGTTGCAAATTTGAAGAGGTTTTTTGTCTGTTTTGGATCATAATGGTTTTTTATTTAATGTTGGTTCCTTGGCTAATAAATGCAGTGTTGGTTCTGTGGGTGGTAATGGTAAATGTGTTTCTCTTTCCAGCAGTGAAAGCACCCAGCAATATAGACTCCACAGATCAGAAAAAGACCAAAACAAAGCTCAAGAAGTTTCTTACACGGCGCCCTACATTACAAGCTGTCCGTGAAAAAGGCTACATTAAGGGTAAATGAACCTTTTTAACAAAGGACATAATTTGAAAAGCTGGGTTTAGTAGTTCATATGTAAAATGGGGTTAAAATGGTCTAGTTTCAGAGTAAAATATGTGTGTATAGTTGGTTTAACAAAAGTCTTGGATGTATAGTGGACCTGGTGATTGCTGTACTTCTGAGTGCTGTTACTAGCCATTAAACTGCTCGGAGGATGCCCTCTCCTTCGGCTCACTGCTGGCCAAAATGCAGTGGAAACTGGGGGCCCAGGAGCCCATTTGGACTTGGACTCTCTAGCTAAGAAGCACTGCATTCCACCCTTCTGAGCTGGAAATCCAGATATCTGACCCTCATTTGTGCAAACAGGGGAAAGAACAGCCCTTTGGGTACAAAGCTGAGTGCGCGTGCTCACCCTTCACAAGGGTGTTTTAGTCCGTGTGGAACCAGACAATCATGTGCCATATCAAAAGAAATGAAATATTTAGGAAAACCAGGATGAGGTTACAGGAGTCTTAACTTAAACATCTTTTTCCCATAACCATTTTTGAATGTATACATTGTTTTAATTGTTTCATGAAGAGTGTTACTGATACTCTTGCATCAAAGTTATGAGAGATTTCTTTTTGTCACACTTGTAGAAATTTGAGACAACAGTATTTGCACAGGTTTCAGTTACTGTGTTTGTGTAAATTATTGACTTGGTACTCATTGTAAAACTTCAGTTATTTATTTATTTGTATGCTTTAGCAGGACTTGTAGATGGTGCTCTACTAGGGTCAAAATAGCATATGGGTAGGCAAATACCAGACAAAATCCTACTGTGATTTGCCTCACCACATACTTTTAACAGGTGTGCTTCTGTTGCATGTAGCATTTGATATATTTGTGTATCTGCAAATATAATTTACTTGTAAATGATGGAAATTTTGTTTGGAATAATGGAGCATTATTCCCAGACTTTGACGTTTTGCTCTGCTTTACAACTTAGTATTCATGTCATGGCTCAGTGACGTAACTTCTGACATTGGCAACAGTGAACACAAAGCCAAGTTTAACTTGTACATGTGCGTGCTAATGATTGGATTTTTAATAAAGGCATTAAGGAATGAGGAGTTTGGTTTTTATTTAAAAGTATGGTGTAAATTTTAAAAGTTGGGATGTGCACTGTACAGCTTTACATTTATTGTATGAATGAAGAATACAGAAGTCTTCATTTAAAAGCCCAGTGTACTTTTGTGGCTGCTGCAGAACAAGCTTAATAAATGGAAAGCTTGGCAAACCCAGTATGAGCAGAAAAACTAGTGAAAAGTTCTGGAACAAAAAATCCACTTGAAACAGCATGCCCTAAGTGGAGAAGGAGCTGTGTGAAAAGTTTTGTTACATGGAAAATCAAAAGTACAGATGTTACTTTTAAGATGTGAAGAAAAAATACTACTGTATATGTTGAAATTATTAAAGTCAAAGGCAATTGTAGCAAATTACTTTGTTACATGCTACTATTTTCTTCTGCTACCTAATCTGCATTGCTTTACCTGCCACAGCTGCATGCTAGCCTGGCTTTCTGCTGCGTGGGCTTTTTCAATCCTTTGCTACTGGTTCTGCTTATAAAGCTTGCTGCGTGAGTAGCTGCCACAGCACTGAGGTGGTGTGGACCACTGGCCTTATCATATCCAACTAATAATGCCATTAAATGCCCATTTTCATACTGTAAAATTGGTTTGGTGTGCTGTTTGGGTTTCCCAAAGCACTAGTCAAGATGCAAGAGTTGTTAATCTACTGACACTATTGAACATGAAAAATGGGCTAGATGCTGTGCATGATGCGAATGCAAGAGCAGTCTCTCTTTTGCAGAAGCTCTGAAGTAAGATACACCAGATTCTGGGAAGATGGCCACTTATGTAGCTAATTTAACATAGTAAACAAACCAACAAACAACCCTTCCCTTTAAGAGTGGAATCTTTGCTACTCTGTCTCATGACCCCATGTCACCCCCATGCATCTGAACAGAAGAGGCCATCTATTATTTGGGCATCTTTGATGAAAGCCATAGAAATTGATCTATCAAAGATTTTGGTGATAGCAATCTGAGCAAGAAGAATTAACATGCTGCTGAAATTCACTGAGACATTGCAAGACTCTCCTCTCTGTCCAAGCTAATTTTCATTTTTGCTCCACTTTATGATGGAAAATATTCCTGAATCGTGCAGTTTTGAAAATCAGATTCAGATTTACCATTGCCCGTAAATATCTGTATTTAGATTCTGACCTTGCAGCCAGGTTGCCTATGCGTAGTCAGACATGCATCCCATTCAGAGCTCTGAGGTACAAGTCTATCATTTACAAATTTGTGTCAAAACTTAAAAATGTCAGAAGACTCTATGTTAAAGTAAATTAATATATAATGCTGTGTTAAACAGTGGGTGCAGTGAAAGATGACATTTTGCAAGGTTTTTTTTCCAAGCAATGCCAAAAGCTTTCACTCCAGTTAAAGTTCATTGTCTCTTCGAATTTTTAACAAAGATTGCAATAAATGCATGTTGAGCTTGGGACAGGAATGGAGTGTAACAGGACACATTTGTATCCATTAAATTTCTTATAACATTATTGACAACATGACTCTTTAAAAGTATCACCTGATGGATTAAAATTATTTCAGTAGCAAAACTTCTTTTCTTCATACTGAGAGCTTTTTCTCGCTGGGAGCTGCTGAGAACTCTTTTCAAAACTTTCCTATTTCCCCTCCAATGCTGCGACAATTGTATCCAGTAGACTTTGCCCTTTGTAGAGGTTTGTTTTAACCTGAACTAGTTCTGTCACTTGTGTCCTGTTCCACTGTAAATCAGTCTCTTTACTTGGTTCCAGATCAAGTTTTTGGTTCAAATCTCACCAGCTTGTGTCAAAGAGAAAACAGCACGGTGCCAAAGTTCGTGAAGCTGTGCATTGAGCATGTTGAGGAACATGGTATGGTTGAATTTTTTGTTTACAAATCTCTCTAGCTCACCAGTCTTAATGTTGAATGTTTTAATCTTAAAATTCTGTTGGTTTATTTGGGGAAGATAATCTGAAATTTGTATCTGGAGTTAGCATTGGGTTTTCAAGAGTGAAGACAGGTGGGATCCAAAGTGGGGAGAGGGGAGGAAATCCTTATATCTGAGAAACCGATCTACTTCAATATATTTCAAACTGAAGAAAAGGCAGGACGGCCTCCTGGCAGCAAGGCTCCAAGGGAAGAGGGATTTCAAGAAGTAGTAGAAGAGCTCAGCTCATCAAGTTGGTTGTTTTTTCAGATTAAAAGTGAGACTATTGAAATGCAACTATTCATTTTTGGAAGGTTTAAGCATGCTAACAATCACTTCTGTGAAAACTTCCTTGAAATGAACTTTTAGGAAAAGTTGTGTTCCTGCTCTCTATGCACTGACTGCCAGAAGACCAGCCTGTTGGTTTGATGCCCTTCAGCCAGTTACATGAATTGCTCTATTTTATGCAATTCTGGAGATTATCAGTTGATAATTGATATTGACTCAGTTTTTGTTTGCTTTGATTGAAAATATGTATTTCCTACCTAATAACTGAGAACACTTTGTTTGAAAGCGACATGTGGCATTCTGGGTTTTCTGCTGTAAAGCACATCTTCACATTTTTGTTGAAAGTGTGTTGGTTGTGACTTGGCTGTAGTCTCTGCGGGTTTTCTTGCCTGTTTCTTGCTCTTGTCTTTGCCTTATCTCTTGGAAAAGATGACTGAGAGGGGATTATGGAATCTCCATAATCATCATTCAGATATTTACCAGTCCGTTAATCTGAGAACATTCTCTTGAGTATTGGGGTAAGTGTTACAGGGGAGTACATGTGAATTCTAAAGCATCTGCCATGGGAACTTCATTTAGCCTGTAGTCCTCTTTGTCAATGCTTCTATCTTATGGCCTGGGAGGGGAGAAAAACTGCTTCCATTGCATAACTCCAGTTTGACAAACTGCCACCTTGCTTGTGGCAGCAGGCTTTATTCAGTTTGTGATCTGAAGATTGTGAGAAAGGGGTTATTTTGCTTTGTTCCTTTTCTTTTTTTTCTTTTTTTTTTCTTTTTTCCTTTTTTTTTTCTTTTTAATTTTAAAGGCAGGACTACAGTGAAAATAGTGAAGTTTTCCTTTTTTAAATACCTGAAGGGAAGCTGACAGAAACGAACAGCTTTTTTTTTTCTACCTCTCCAACTCTTCTTCCTTCTACCAATACACTTCAAATCAGTCCATTCTGTAAAGGAATGACTAGTGGATTATGGGGAAAAGGGATATGTCAGATGGTGCTGGTAACTGTGCTGTGTTGCATCAAACAACTCCTTGAGGAGCTACAGGGACTTGCAGGTATTCTGGCAACACTCGCCCTCTCAGTGGCACTGACTCACCTGCTGCATCCAAGTGGCTTTTCAGATAAATTCTTTACCTCCTAATCACTGCCGAGTAACTGCAGTAGCAACCACAGAGACACAGTTTTCTTCTTTTTGAGTGTGCAATCCTGTGAGGCAAGGGCTGCCCATTTTAGTTCTGTAGGCTGTTGGGTAGCTCTGAGTGTGCATGTGCATCATTCCTTCTCCATGTAAACCTGGTCACTTGACAACTTTGAGATGCTCTCTATGCATGACTTGATTAGGCTTTTCTTAACCATACATTAAAAACTGAACATTGTATCCACAAAATACCTGGTTATTGCATGTTGGACTCCCATGTATTCCCTGCCCACCCACCAAGAGCATCTTAAACAAGACATCTGATCTCATTTGGGAAACTTGGAGCTGTTGTCTCATTACTACTTGAATAGGAAGTTTTAGAGATTACTTTGAGCTCTATGCTGCCAAACTTGCGTCAGCAAATTAAACCCCCTCTGTTTTATATGCCCTGCCCATCAAAACAAGCTAGTTTAACTTTTTATTTCTGTGTTACAAGGTGGGTTTCCTTTGCTTTTAATTTTTCTGAGTAGACCTATACATATGTGAGTTATTAAAATGGATTTATCCCTTTATTTCAGGATTAGATATCGATGGATTATACAGAGTTAGTGGCAATCTTGCAGTGATACAGAAGCTGAGATTTGCAGTCAATCATGGTAAGCTTCCTCCAGTTATTACAGTAGCATATATTTTCAGATTGTTGAACTCCATAGAAAGCTAAGGAAAAAGATTTTTCTTTCTAACTGTAGTGTATCAAGAGAAATGACTGTCATCCTCAAAGTAAAATTACTTCAGAATTACAGAACTGACTGTGTAGCATACATTACTTGAAAAACCTGATATTCTGGAGGTTTAGTTTCATGCAGACCATAGAGGCATTGCCAGAACAGAATTCTAAAAAAAGAGGGTAATAGAATTTGAGGAAGGTTCTAACAAAATAACTCAACACCTTATGGAAAAACAGGAAGCATGTTAAGCTTTCACTAGCATTAAAATTGTAAGTTAATGTTTTTTTTTAGTGAGATTTGCTACTGCCTTTTAGTGGGGGGAGGGCTTAGCCCCTCTTCACTGTAGCCTGTGTTTAAAACATTTTGTTCTGGCAGTATCTTAGTGTAGCCCATCCAGAATCTGACGTTTCGTTTCCTGATTGACAGGATTAACAGTAAATTTTGTATTATATCAGCAGCTCCTGTTCCCTTCTGGAAAATGCTCTAGGAGCAGGGGAACTGTATGTAGTGCAGTAGGCAGAGTTTAGCCATCTCCATCTGCTGCTGCAGCTCTGTATCCCAGAATGGGATGTAGAACGTGCTGAAGTGGAGCAAGTCTTCACTGCTTTGAAAACAATAAGTACAGAAGAATGTTGAGTTAGTTTTTTTTAAAAAGAGCTTTTATAGTTGAAGTATTATCATTAATTATTTATTTTTTGTCTCTCAGATGAGAAGCTGGACTTGAATGACAGTAAATGGGAAGATATACATGTCATTACAGGAGCTCTAAAAATGTTCTTCAGAGAATTGCCAGAGCCGCTGTTCACTTACAACCACTTCAATGACTTCGTCAATGCAATTAGTAAGTCTGGAGAACTTGCATATGGTGTTTGGATAAGTCCTGTTCAAATTAAAAAATTATTTTGGACCTAAGAAGAATGTTTTGGTTGTGAAGGTGGTGACTTGTCCGGAGTTGCCTGTCCGTGCTGCCGGGGCCGGCCGGGAGATGGCAGTGTCCCATCTTGGATAAGCGCTGCAAGCCGTGCCTTTCATTCCCAGCCTCTTCAATGTTATGCTCAAGTTTTAAACAAAAATACTGAACTTTTGTTTCTCAACCTCATCCTTTTACAGAGCAAGAACCAAGGCAGCGTGTCCCTGCTGTTAAAGATTTAATCAAACAGTTGCCAAAACCAAATCAGGACACAATGCAGGTACTCTTTAGACACCTGAAAAGGTAAGTAACAGATAGCAGGAAAGGCTTTGTGTTGCTGATCTTTTCTTAAAGATAAAGAACCCAATTTAATGTACCAAGTGACTGTTCTTACTGCATTTTTTTATACTGGACTTGATAAAAGCATGTATGAACTGTTTGGATATGAGCTTGCAGAACACCAGACTTGAGACAGTATATTGCATAATTGTGATGTTTGCTGCCAAATCCTTTAGAAGGACTATGAGAGGACCAAGAATGACATTTCAAAACAAAACTTTTTTCATAGAGAGGAGAATTACGGCAGCTGTATGTCCTAATAGCAAGACTACTCATTAAATAAATACTCTGAATAGCCATTTGCTTTGGGATGGGTCTTTTTCTGTCATCGTGTCGCCCTAACACTGATAAATCTCTTCTTGTGTATTGTTTTCTCTTTCAGAGTTGTAGAAAATGGAGAAAAGAACCGAATGACCTATCAAAGTATAGCAATAGTTTTTGGTCCAACCTTATTAAAGCCAGAGAAAGAGACTGGTAACATAGCAGTCCACACAGTGTACCAGAATCAGATTGTAGAGTTAATTCTACTGGAATTGAATTCCATCTTTGGACGCTGACATTTTTCTTGGAGCAGAAACTGGAAGTGATGGGTTGGCAGCACTACTCCATCAGAAAGAAAACCTCTTGCTGTATATGATGTTTTATGTTTGTGGACCAAGCAGCAACTTGTTTTTTGCACTTTTGGGGAGGGGAGAAACAGGAGAAATGTTTGACCACTATAATGCGAATTAAAGACAACACTTCAGATTTCTTTGAAAAGTTCAATATAAAAAGTGAATTGAAAAGTTTATAGTTTACCTTTTTAAAGTATCATTGGAAAAAATTAATATAGGTTCATACACTGGATTTCATGGAGAGTAAAACTAATAATCTCAGACTGGATAATCTGGAATTTAATCTCAATATTCTTTCATATGATGGGGAAAAGTCTTACCATTTTTCCCAGTATGGAAAAATTCAGTGAAGTTACATCTTAAGCTTGTTTATTACAACCTACTTAGATCTGTATGACACTTTTCCAAGGGGTTTCTCCATGCTGTGACTGTCATAGACTTGCACTAACAGTTTGATTTAGTTATTCAAATTTAATTCTTCCCTTGATGTCTGCTGCCCTCTGTCATTCTTTTTCTCCTGTTTTTCTGTTGTTGGTGGTTTTTTTTTGTTTTGTATTTTTTTTGGTGGGGCTTTTTTTGTTTTCTTTTTGTTTGTTTGTTTGTTGGATTTTTTTTTTTACTTCTTTCTTTCTTTTCTTTTTTTTTTTTTTTTTCCCCTCGGCAGCCTCTCTGGAAGTTCTTTGCTGCTTCATAAAGCAGCATGCTATTACACTATTTCAAACACTGAACTTGTAAGAATATCCAGCAATGGTTATTTGTCATGGCGCATAATAGAAGTAATATTTAATAAAGATGTTCATTTTTTCAGGGTATGTGCTGAACTAAGTTTGTGTTATACTGATCTAAAGCTAAGGTCCTGCGTGAATACCGACTGTAACACTGTACTGAGTTCTTGGTATAATGCTGTGGTAGTGGAAGTTCATTCTGGATGTAAATACAGGCTGTCCTTTTGATTCCTGTATATAAGTCAGCTCCTGTATAGTTTAAGAACACTTTAGTCACACATTTCTAATCATGGGTAGAGTAGCTACAGTAGCATAATGTTTCCAGTGGATGTCTGGGTTTCAGCAGGGAAACAGGTTATGGGGAGGGAGGGAGATCTAACTGTGTGCACTTTTAGACGTTAATTACATTTGCGGGCAAATAACTGTAATGCAAATGGTACTGGAGAAAAACTGAGTGTGCTTGCTAAATTGTTAATGCACTACAAGAAGAGCCTTTTAGGTTATTTAATATGTACAGAATTCATTAGAAAAAATGTATTATGAATTCTAACATCTGCAGGTAGTGAAAGTCATGTTTTGATAGATAGATGTTTGATGGAATCCACTATGCTAAATTTAAGATTTTCTTTTTACATTAATGTAGAATAATTTGTAAAATTGGTTTTGAAAGATTTTGTTACAGGGCGCATGGTCAGCTGAAGATTTTTTAAATGTATTTTTCTAGACTAACTGCTGTATCTGACATATTTGTTATGTCTAACCTGAATAAAGAAAACCAGTAGTTCTTTTAGAGTTTACCATCCCCACTTCAGACAACACGAGCCTCCTTTAAACAAGACCAATGTATCTGACCCCTTAGCATGGATGGATGCCACTTGTGACAAAGAGCTGTCACACTGGACTGAAATATGAATGCCTACTTTATAACCTGACAATTTTAGAAACTTCCCAGTCCCTTTCTTTAACAACTTGAATTCTAACATAAGGTTCAGAGAGGGCAGAAGTAATTTATGGATACAAATTTGCAGTCTTTAAACACATCCCAGCTTGGAGCCCTCTGTACAGGAAGCAGATACGTTGAGGAAGGGATTGTGTCAGGAGCCTTCGATCTGCTGTGTCCCTCTCACACACAGCCCTGGCTGCCAGCAGAGGGGATGTGTGGTGACACTCCGCGCTGTAACCAGACTGATGGTACGAGAATTTCACGAGCATAGGGCTTGCATGAAAAGTTTTTGGAGATGAGCAAGAAGATTAGTAACCTTGTGGCTTTCTCAGTGTCTTCTTGTGGTAATGGTGAAGTCTTGTGGTTTGTTGCAAAGCGACTGGGTGAGGACTGTGAAAGCCCTGTCTCAGAGGTGTGTTGTCAGCCTCCCTCTGGGCTGTCACACTGAGCAGTGCTGAGCCTGTGCCCTAACCTACTAGAAAATATTGACTGATTGGAATCTGTGGCTGTACATTATTCATACCCTGCCTTTGGCTGTAAAGAAAGAATTGCTGCTGCTACATGAGAGGGCTTGTTCACCGGCCACCTTTTGTTGCGAGTGTTACCTTTTTCAAAGGAAGAATGCCTTTTTAAAGCAATTTGATTATGATGTCACACTTTTCCTTGTATTCCCCAAAAATAAAGCATTTTGTTATTACAATAGCTAGTGTGGTTTTGTCCAATGAAGTTGTCTTAATATTCCAATTTTTAGTTTGGGGAGGGGAGAGGATCCTTAATTGAAGGAGGTATAGGCAAACACTTGAGACATTTAGGAAGAGGAGGAAGTCCAAGCTGATGGTACATTTGTTGTGACCATCATGAAACTGTGTACATCACCACATGGAGTTTCTTCACTGCTTGAAAGATCTCATCTTGTCCCTGCAGTTAACTTTATTTTAAGTAAGTAAAATGAGGGATCTGCACAAACACACCAGGGGGATAGCTATGTGCATTAGATGAAACATAGTTAATTTTTTATATTACTCAGTTCAGACTCTATATCGGATTTGGTTCTGGTTTAAAATCAATTTAAAGCCTGAATATAAATTTTTTGGGGCCATAACCCCTCAAAGGATTCTGGAGGTCCAACATTATGTATTGGTGCCAGCTGAGATTTTTGTTCCAGCACTAGAGCTGTGTTCAGCTACAGAGCAGTAGTACCAACCAACTTTCAGCCATGCTTGGTTGGTACTGGTTACAGGTTTCTTCACTTTGAAGCTGGAGAGAAGTGGACACAAAAAAGGCCAATATGCACAGTCACTTCAAGTAAGCTATTTTTTAAAGTTGGAGTTGCATGCAGGAAGCTTTATTTACTTGCAAGTGGATAGGTCATGCTTACTGTCCAGGCTCAGGAAAGCCTCCCTCTATTCACAGAAATCCACGATAAATTCCTTTTGTACTCAACTCACTGTACCCTGGCAAGCAAATGCCTTGCAGCATGAGAGAGAAGGGAGTTTATAGGTAACGCGGTATCAGTTTATTCCTTGGCAGAGCCCTGACTTTTTTCCCCTTAAAGGGAACAGCTTTATTTAGCCCTAAAGTAGTGATATTTTCAGAATCAATTGGTTAATTCATAAGCCATAACATAACCCAGGCACAGAAGGGCGTTCTGCCGGGCCCAGGGGGAGGGACAGCATGTCTGATGAGGCTGCCTGCAGCCGCTGGGGAGAGGAGAGCTCCTCTGAAGAATCTTAATTAGCCTCCACAATTGTGAAGTTTTGTGGGCAAGCAGCTGGTAGGACTGGATCAGGCCTTTACAAAAGTAGCCCTATGTGAATGTGGGGCTTAAATGAACATTCCCCCCCTCTCCAGCTCCCCCAACATTCTTGTAAACAGAGCACTTGTAAAACAAGCTCACACTGTGTAACAAACCAACATGAAAGACATTCAGAGGCGACTTGGCCTCTCAGTCCATTTTATTGCCTTGAGAATTAAATGGCAGCTCTAATATTAGCTTCCTACAACTTCCCCAAACAGATTCTAGTTTCTTAAGGTAGTCAGCTGCTACTTTAAAAAAATAAAAGAAATCTGTGTTGTGTTCGGCAAACTCAGAACTCAAAGTAGAACAGGCCAGTAGAGCGTTGGTTTTATTTCTCATAGAATCTCATCTTACAGCTTATTACACTAAAATACAGTGGGCTGGGGAAGGGGAGAGAGATCCTGAGTGTGGGAATAAGTAAATGCAGAACACTGAAGGCAACAGACAAAGCAGGTGTGATGGATAGCAAGATAGCAAAGAAACATTCACTCAGAACTGCAGGAATCCAGGCCAGAGACCTGGGAGAGAGCCAGGCTGCCAAGAGTGTGGGCTGGAGTTGCTTTTTATTTTCTGTTTTCTTCCTTTGCACGTCTTACAATACAGATGAGAGCCCAGCTATGTTTTTTAAGGGTAATTTGCTCTGTAAACAGGTGGAGTTAAGTAACATTGCAAAGCAGCAGTACCTGCCTTTCTCCATCTTTTCTGGAGTGACTTCTATGTGTCAGCTCCTCAGGGATGCACTTGTGTCTAACTTCCCTGGACACAAGCACCTGAGTGCTAACAGGGGTCAAGAGCTATGTCCCTTCAACCAGCATCTGTGCAATACAAAAATAAACTTGTTCTCAGTTTGGCAGTGTTGTTCTGGTGACACTGAGGGCCCCATCCAAGATCCAACCCTTGTTGCACCAGATCCTGAGAAATGCAAGTGGTCCTGTCTGTTATAACCTCAGCACGCCAGAAGAAACAAATACATGAAACTCATAAGTGGGGGTATGCCAAAAAAATAAACTTCCAAAGTAAACTATCTTCACAACTAATTTAGATCTGTATGCACAGTACAAATCTGCTCAGAATAGCTTGTTAATTCAGTGTGAAAGAAACAGCTGTCCTCTAAAACATTAGGTACTGTAATTAAAAGCTGTCATTTCTTATATCAGGAGTTGGAAAATACATCTTAAACATTGGTCAGCCTATCTAATTCATTAAGTGCTGCAGCCAAATTACTGGAATCAAAGCACTGGCAGAGTTTCCTGGCCACTGATGTGCCAGAGCTCTCTGCTCTTATGAAGAGGATGATGCTGAGCTGATGGTGGCTTGGTGGCTTCCTGTGTACAAGTGTCCAGCTAGTTATTTGTTCCAGTAAAGGAGGTGACTAACCTAGAAACAGAAATGAAAAATCACCTCTTTACAAGAAAACCTGTCCTATCAGCCTGGGCTTGGGCTGCAGGGGTTCAACCTGCACCGTGCTGTGCCCAAGCTCACCTGCCTGCTGCAGGGATGTTCTCCCCCTGCACTGAGTGACTGAGTGCATCTTCTGTGGGTGTTGGTCTTGCCAAAGCCTCTGCCAGCACACATGTGTGAGCTGCTCAACTTCACAGCTTTCTTCCATGAGGAAAAACTGAGACATGGTTGTGCAAAAGGTAATGCCTCTGCTCTGGCAGGTTGAAGGATGCCACTGTATTTCCCGCTGTGACAAAGCTGTTTCAGAGCTGAAATGCGGTTCACACTGATACACTAGTCCTGCTCTAATCCAGCTCAGACCTTTTGCTTCCTTATTTGTACAACAGTCTGGAGCCCTGGAATGTGCTGTGCTCTGCCCAGGGCACTGCTTCCCTGGCGCAGGCTGAGGCACGGGCCACTCAGCCATAGACACTTCATCACAAAGCAGACATCAGTGTAAAACCACGGACTAGAGAATTAGAAAAATGTTCCTCTCCAGGTAATAGTTACAGCAGGCTGTGTGCTGCCATGTCACAGAGTGACTCTCTCCTCCATACTGCAGAAATGTACACAAGCTGAGCCACCAGGTATTACACTTGGCACAGAACTGAAGGAAAGCAATGTGTTTCCATGCAACCTTTGAATCCCTGTCTGCATCGCTTGTGCAGGCTGAGCTGTGAGCCAGCTGCCAAGAGGACAGCAAAATCTTCAGGTTTGCATTAAAACGCTGCAGCTGTAAGCCAGGATCATGCTTGTTACTTTCTTTTGCCTGAGCTTCCCAGCCTGTGCCATTCAAATGCATGAAAATTAATAACTTTCTGTCCCCCTTTCCTATTTATGCAGCTCTGTGCAGCCAAGAGCTCAGGGCCCTCGGGTACTGCTTCTTACTCTGTATATACACAATTTAGTTAAGAAGGGGAGAAGACAGTTTATTACAAACATTGAACAGTGGGCAGCATCATTAGCATTTAAAAATCATAAGTAACTCCCCAGGTGTTTGTTCTAATGTGTTCTGGTCTTTCTTTGCATCCCTGAGATTAAAAGAAAGCCTGAGAAGAAAGCACATGAGGGGCGCGATGCAGCACAACGAAATGTTGAATGCTGCTGGTGGTGGCACAGCAAATTCCCCTCTGCCAGCATCAGTCTCAGATGGCAGAAGTGCTGCCCATATCATACAAGGCAGAGGCTGGGGACTGGAGCCTTTCCTTCCTTCCTGCTGCCTTTCTCATTTGCTAGGTTGTGATCTGAGGCTCATGGCATGTTGCAGGCCAGACATCATCATTGTAGCTGTTCTCTCTCTTGGGTTTTGGAGAATCTATGAATGGAATTGGCAGTAGCCTCCCATTTAGCCCTCCTTGTTCCTACTTGGCCATTCATGGTCTCTAGCAAAAGAAAGCACTTCTTCTGGCCAAAGGCTGCCTTCCCATTTTTGTCATAAAGGAACACTGCTCAGTTGAGCAAACCTGTCTCATCATCTGTGGCAGCACTCACATCCCTGCTGGTGTGCAAATCACTCTGCTTGACATCTGTAGGGACATATCCTTGGGAGGAGCAAAAGCTCACATCAACAGCTGATATATCAAAGTGCTCCAAAATGTACAATTCTACTCAGAAATGTTGGCAAGGAGAACTGGCATTGATTATCAGGGAGGAAAGTGGAAACCATCATGGGCACTGCACTGGGTCTGGGCAGAGGAGCTGTTTACTCTGACTCCTTTCCAAAACAACAAGTTTAGGTGATGTCAGCACTCAGGTAGGTAACTGCAACTCTTGCTATCCTTGTGAACAAGAGTTTTTCTGAAGTGCCAGGGACCAGAACACCGGCAGTAAGTGCTGCTCCATGGGCTTGGCCGTGTGAAAGGGTGAGGGAGCCTGAAGCAGCACTGGCAAACTGCCTCCCTGGCTGTCACCAGGGCACTGCAAAGGGACTACACTGACTCCCAAAACCAGACTTTGGACAGGGAAGAAGAAGAATGGCTTTCAGGAGCTGTCACCAAAGCAGCAGCTCTGGCACACCCTGCTGTTGTCTCCCTAGAACACCTCATAAACATCCCGGACAGGGCCAGGGCCACAAAATGGGGAAGAACCCGGGGTTCCCCTTCCCTCCTCTTGTCAATACCCTCCCCTCTGTGTCTCCCACAGTGGTATCCATGACAGCTGCCACACTGTCCTGCCCTGCCCTGTAGCTTCCATGAGTCAGGTCATCTGGGCAAGAGCTGCCCCACCAGCTGTGCACTGGACAGACAAAGAAAAGTTGGAATTACCTGTCTGCTCATGGCATGAAAGTCAACATTGAAGGACTATGCTGTTAGCAACCTTGTGGCAGCTAGAAGAGGTTTTGGACACAGAAACACCAAATACATCTAGCTTGATTATTATTTTGAAGACAAAGCTTGTTGTGACAATGAACTATTTTACTTTGTAACGCATCTCAGCGTCTTGTAATTATGTACAAAAAATTA